GTTGTTGACAACACATTGTTAACTTTGATCCGGAACTTCCTTCCTTCTAGAAAAGATTTCAATAGTTTCAGTAGCCAAAATGGAAAACCCTTTTGGATGAGCTTATACAAAAGGCCTATGTGCCACACCTAGTCAAATGCCTTTGATACATCTAAAAGCAAGATACCAGTACCTTTGTTCAGGGTGAACCCCCTGGTTACATGCTCCACCAGTCTAACTGCCTGTAGCTCCGTACTATGCTCAGACCGAAAGCCGAATTGCACGTCAGAAATCACATGGTGATCTTACGAGAAATTCTCAAGGTGACGATGAATCACCTTTTCAGAGAGCTTAGAGGGAGCTGACAGCAGACTAATGGGACGTTAATTCTGAGGGAATATCGAACCAGTCTTTTTTGGGATCATGATGACTACAGCGATCTTCCACGCCTTAGGAAACTAATGAGTTCTGAGCATTGCATTGATTATTGCCACCAGATAAGTCAAAGCCTTGAGCGAGAGCAACTTCAGTGCTTGGTTGGTGATTTGATCTTCTCCTGGTGCTTTACGCACCTTTAGGTCCTTAATGTGCTTTAATCACCTTTTCAGCGAGCTTAGAAGGAGCTGACAGCAGACTAATGGAACGGTAAACCTGCGGGAATATCGAACCTGTCTTCTTTGGGATCATGATGACTTCAGCGATCTTCCACGCCTTAGGAAACTAATGAGTTCTGAGCATTGCATTGATTATTGCCACCAGATAAGTCAAAGCCTTGAACAAAAGCAACTTCAGTGCTTTGTTGGTGATTTGATCCTCTCCTGGTGCTTTACGCACCTTTAGGTCCTTAATGTGGCCTTGGAGCTCTGCTGGTGAGCAAAACGAAATCTCGTGATGTACTATGCTGAGATTCATTTGAAGAGTCTTCCGTAGAAGAATCTTCTGAAAAGGAGTCACCGATGTTACCACTGATGTTGATATCGCCATTTGCTCTGACAGATCTTCCAATTTGGCGTTCCTCGTCCAGATCATAATTGGGAGAGAACTGCCTTTTCATGACGTCAGCAAAAACCTCCACATTATCCTCTGTCCTGAAAACTATGCCTCCAGGAGCATGGATATATGGTAGTGGTTCTTGCCTTCCGTTTCTGAGCGATTTTGCCACTTTCCAGAGAGGAATACTTGATTCAATCACCCCGCCAGAAAGTCGCTCCACCGCTCATTGCGGAATTCATGGAGTGCATTTCTCACTTCATGGACGAGATTCGTCGCTCTACGAATGTCATCAGGATGACAAGACCTTTTTGCTTGCTTAATCGCAGAAATTTTCCGACGAATGTCATCAGGGAGAAAAGGTCTACCGTGACGCTGCATCGGAAGCACAGCAGCACGCTGTAGAGCTTAGTGAACGAAACTTGTCCACTCCGATTGAGCAGCATCAATTCCGTTCTCATCATGTATGATCGGGACGCTGGGAAGCCCTTTGAGAAATGACTTGTATAGTTCCCAATCAACTCTTTTCCTTAGAGGGGTTTCCTCCTGCCCATTACCTACCTTCAGAACAACAGGTAGATGGTCAGTAGAGATGTCATACAAGATCCTAGAAGCAATACTGAACCTACGGTTTTTAGATATTGCAAAGTCTATAACATCCGGTGCCTGAAGGTCATTGAAAGGATGGTGTGTCGGCTCTTCGGTGCTGTGAATAAGATACCCGATTCGCATCACATGGTTGTCATTGTAGTGGAGGTGGCGTTGTTAAAGGTTACAAGCTGCTGTCTGTTGCTCGATTAAGATGACCAGAGCCTAATGCTACTACTATGGAACTTGTAACGCGACAATTTTTTGATAAGAATGTCATGTTGGACACACTCGAAGGCCTTAGTAAGGTCAAATAAAGTAGTAGTAGTAGTAGTAGTAGAAAGATTTATTTAGCACATTTGGCTACATAAACAGAATAATTGTAAACAACTTAGAACTAGTAAATTCAAGCCATATGGTGTATGATGTAAATGCTGGGCAACCTATAATTGTAGATTTAACAAGTGATTTCTCAATTTTACTTTAAATTTTGTCAAAGTTTTCTGGTCTTTCTATCTCCGAGTATAATTTATTATATTCAATCAACCCTTGACGGAATACAGATTTGTAGCATATGTTATACTTTTTGGTCATTAAATGGAAGTCATCTTTATTTCTGGTATTATGTAAATGATGGTCGACATTTGATGATGTTAAATTAGTTAGACTTGATGGAAATATATTATTTTTTACTTTATAAATGAATATCATTACAAGATATTTGATAAAATTTTTTACATTGAGCCATTTTAATTTGCTAAGCATTTGCCTAATTGGAGTATATTTATCTTTATTTAGTATTATTCTCATGCACTTATTTTGTAAAATTTGCAGTCTTTCAAAAATGGAATTATTTGCTAAATATAGAATAGTCGAACAGTACAAGAAATTTGGAAGAATGATGGTATTATAGATAATTTTTCTGCTATATGAAGTCAGACATCCAGAAACTCTCGATAAATATCCCACTTTACTACTAATCTTATTTATCACTTTTTCATAATGAATATCAAAAATTAATCGAGACTCAACAAAAAACCCCAGGTATTTAAAATTTTCTACGAATTCAATATCTTCACCATCAATATTCAGTTGAACATTTGTACGTTGCTTTTTTCCGATTAACAAGGCTTTACTTGCATTTAATTTTAGTCTATTAGATGCTAACCATTTTGAGACAAGCTTCAAGTCTTCATTTATATAAGAGATACCAGACTGAATATTTTTAGTGCTTATATAAATCATAGTGTCATCGGCGAAAATCTGAATTTTGCTTTTTATGACTATGGCAGGTAAATCATTTATGTGTAAAATAAAAAGAAGTGGTCCCAGGATACTGCCCTGTGGAACACCCAATGTATTTTCAATTTTTGATGAAATAGTGACATTAACTTTTGTAACTTGCATCCTTTTAGACAAATAATTTCTAAACCAATCTAAAACACTTCCTGTTATACCATATGCCTTCAATTTACCTAACAAAATATCTCTATCAATCGTTTCAAATGCCCTCTTCAAATCCAAAAATACTGCTATGACAACTTCTTCTCTCTTCTCTCAGTTACCAACTGGAAAGCCGTTTCTGTGGAATATTTTTTTCGAAAGCCTGCTTGCACCTCCACTAAACTTTTGTTTTCTTCTATAAACTGCATTAATTGGTCATGCACTATGGACTTTAAAAATTTTTCAATGTCTGGTAATACATTTACTGGTCTCATATTGCTACATCTTTTAGAATTTTTTATTTTGGAACTGGTGTTATTGTAGAGCATTTCAAATTTTCAGGAAAAGAACTGCTTCTCAGTGAACAATTGATCCAATTTAATACAGGATATCCCAAAATTTCGAAATAGTTTTTCAGCACGTTTTAGTAGTGATTTCGGCACAGTTGTTATTCGATTTTAAACTGTTTACTTTTTTTCTTAGATAATTCAATGATACGCTGTGAAATTTTGAAAGTGTATGCAACATTTCCCCCTGGAAACTGATTTTCATATAGTCAGGTGCAGCATTGGCAGTACCCACAATATCAACAACACTTTCCACAAAATATTCATTTAGTTTGTTTGCAATCACCAAAGAATTTGTTTCGGTACCGTTTTCGAATTGAACTTGATTTACACAATCATGCGGCTCCGAATTGATCAGTCTTTTTAAAGTCTTCCACATCTTTACACTGTCGCACTTGTTATTATCGATTTGTTTATCGTAGAATTTCCTTTTTTCTTCTCTAATTACATATACACATTTATTCCTAAGAGTTTTATATACCTCCCAATCATCATTTGATTTTACATTTATTGTATTGTTTGTCTCTCAAATTTTGAGCTGCCTTAATATTCTTGTTATACCAGGGTGTATTTTTTGTCGAGGAAATCACTTTTTTATCAGTTGCAAGATCTAAACAAGTTTTTATATTTCCTATTATGTTGTCATATATTTTTTCCATATTCTCACCAAAATTCCAATAGCAGCCAGCAAGTTCTCGTTCAAGTTTTTCGTACTTGATAGTATTTACGATTTTCTTAATTTTTGTATAAGAAGAATGCCCTACTAAGGGCAGCATTGTCCAACTGTGATCGCTAACTTTAGGTGTATGTACAGCTTTAATCCCTGCACATTCGAAATTTACAATAACAAGATCTAACAAAGTCTCTGATAATGATGTTATTCTGGTACTTACTTCAATTTTTTGTTTGAACCCTTAGTTGTTTATGGTTTCTTTCAATTTTCTTGTTTTCATGCTTTTACCATAATAATTTAAATTAAAATCACCTAAAAGTATTATATTGTTTCTAAAATTCCACATTTCTTCGCATTTTTCTTCAAAAAACGTTAAAAATGCATCCGCATCACTGTTTGGTGAACGGTAAAAAGTACAAAGATCATAACGTTTCCCAAATAATTTGAACTGTATATGTGCATACCAGTATGCATAGTCTAAAGTGGTACAATCGAATAATGTGATCTGTATTTTGTGGTAAACATAAATCACTACACCTCCAGTATGTCTGGAGTTGGAGTTGCATCTGTAGGTTTTATAATTAGTAATTTCTAATTCACCATCAGTGATGTCTTCTGTAGCATGTGTTTCGGTAAGACATAATACAAGTGGTTTTCTCCATCTTAAAAACTGTTGAACTTCATCTATATTATTCAGGACTCCTTGTATGTTTAAACGGTATATTCATCACTTGCAGATTTAGCCACGTCAAAGTAGCTAAGCAATGAGCAAAAATGCACAAACAGTGCATCTTCTGGGGAAAAAATATTGATAATATTGTTTTTTTAGTCACACGCCATGAATTAATCAGATAAAAAGGATTTGGAATACTGTTCCAAACACGTAATTGAAAAAAGGGACATTCGACCTTAGAACGTTGCTGTTTTTCTTGTTTTAGCTCTAATGTGGCAGTTTTTATATTGAACAAAAGTTGTTTCAGGTAGGGGGTGATGGAGAGGAAGACAAGATCTTCTTCATTTGGCCAACGACAATCGTCCACAAGATAGATAGCAAATCGCCGTTGTACAATATGTCGGCTAACAATCTACTCAGGGAGCGGTTCGAAATCGTAGTTATATTAGGTATGTATGCAAAAGTAAATTAGCTCAATGTTTTTTCTCATATTTTTGAAATACTGTTCAATACCTGGACTTTTGATGATGGCTCACCCCTATACCTTTTTTATTATTGAAGATAGAAAAACGAAATTTGTGGGTTGCGTATTACAGATGAAGTTGACCGGAAACGACTCCAACTTTCGATTTTTAAATAGGACACCCTATATATTTTTACTTACTTCGATCGTGAATGACATCCTGAACTCAACAACGCTTCACTTGTCAATCCTTGACAAATAAAGTCATTTTTATTTCAATTTTTATCTAGAATGCCTGGATCCTGTAAATCGCTTCATTTTTGATCAAATAACACGGGAAAATACGATTTTGGAGCGAACGACCTTACAGTTGTTTTAAGGATTTTCTAAAAGTTACAAACACTGATTTTTTCTGCTTACTTGATTTTTTCAAAAAGAAAGTAGCGGCTCGCCGGCTTTTTCTAAGAGACCATTTTCTAACGAATAATTTGACACTACACACTCTTATTTTATTTTCACTATTTTATAGTACACCGGTTTAAATTTTAGAGGAACTAAGACAGAAAATTTTACTTTCTTGCCAAACCATAACAAATACTACTGGGGTTTTAAAAGGGTTCGCCAATGCATGAGAAAGAGAATTGAAGCCTGTATTCTAGCAGACGGAAGACATTATCAACAATTCTTTTGATAATTAAATTAAACTGTATCCATCGAAGAAATAAAGTAAAATCAAACATATACACCCGTATTGCACGTGATCAAGAACTTAACCGTAGGAGACGCTACAGGGCCGTATCAAGCTATTGTGACTGATTTATCAAAAAATGTCGTACAAGATATGTGTTGCTGTAAATTCTATCAAAAGCATAGTAAATTATCAGGAATATACCACGCCTTACTAATCATATTTCGACATTAGGAATCAGTGCAAAAAATTCTGTATTCACCATTTCAGCAAAATGTTACTAAAACGCACACGAAAAAAACTTGTGGACCATCTCAATTGAAATTGTTCATATTTTATTATTAACTTACATATATACCCAATAATATTTACAAATCAACCTTCTATTCACAATGCAGAGCAAATTTTTTTGAGCAACTAGAAACTACAGACGTAGTAGTAGTAGTACAAAAGTTTATTACAGACTCCATAAAGTTTGTTAGTTTGATTGCTATTAAAATTTACATGAGAAATAGGAAGAAGGTCAAAATGGCACTATTATGCTTTGGAACTCCTAAATTAACCTTAATTTTGTGTAATTATAAATTTGGAATTTCCACATTAATAACTAGAAACTTACACTTTGATTGCAGTCTATATTGAACTTACCTGTCTTGCCAAAAAGCCCGTTAAACTGCCAGTCTTAATGGTATCAATCGATTTATATGCTGTATTCCGAGGAGCTTGAATCATCAGAATTGTTGATGTCAATTATAAGCGGTTCAACTTGGGTGTCAATGATATTGTCCATATCCCACATTTTGGTTTCAACCTTCTCTTGGACATGGTCAATACATGTTCTCCGTTTTGCTGGCGTAATTCTATCAGCAACATTAAACAGTTTTTTAAGATCAGAAAACTTAAAAGTGCTGTTATTTGACGCCACGTATTGCTTGATGTCGGCCCAAATCAACTCGATAGGATTCAGTTCGCAGTGATAGGGAGGCAGCCTGAGAATCGTTTTATTTTGGTTTTTGGCCATTTCGTCAACAATTTTTAAATCATATTTATACTTATGTCGCTTGACTATATTTATCAGCTCAGCTTTGACCATTGTTTGGTCGAAGTCGATCTTCTTTGAGACAAGCCACTGTTGAATGTCTGCCTTTTTGGTGGTCATTGTTGGAATTTTTTCCAATTTTCTGGAGTGGTACGGGGCATTATCCATCACAATAATTGCGTTATCATCAAGTGTCGGCAAACATTTTTTGAACCAATTTTCAAATGAGTTACCATCCATTTCTTCGTGATAGTCTCCAGTTTTTTTGGATTCAAATGCCCACAATGCTTCAGGAACAAATCCATCTACGCTACCTATGTGGCAAATGATCAGGCGTTTTCCCTTGCCTGAAAGTAATTAGCTATTTTACTTCTCAGCGAGCGCACTAAATGACGAAATTAAGCAACTTACTCTTTTTAGGTTAGTGTAGGATAGGGTCTTAGATTAGTTTTTGGGTGAAGGAAATACTCAGAAACTTGGATGAGATAGCAAAACTGAGTTCGGAGCTTCCAAATCATTGATTCGATCAGAAAATGAATTATCTGCATCCAAAAAAGTTCATATACTTCTAAACTTACCTGCAGGATTTTTCAATCCCGTCGAAAGGCCATCTAAAAAAGCCTGCCTTGAGGACCTCGCAGATCTGTCTACCCAAACCTTTCCCTGCGTATGCCCCGCGTTCACCCATGTTTCGTCTAAATAATAAATTTTTCTTCCTTCAGCGCGGAATTGCCTAATTTTTCTAAGGTATTCTCTCCTCCAGAATAACAATTTCCTCCTTTTCTATCAATAAACTATTCCTTCCTCTTTTCAAAAATCGAAAGTCTAGTTCTTTCAACAGCTTATGGAACATAGATCTTTTAAAATTTGGCAGGTCCTCATCATCATTCACTTGCTTCAATATTTTATCTATTGTAGGTATTTCATTCCTGAAGAAAAAGTGATGTACTTTTCTTCTAATGGCACTTTTGTCAAAGTCACCTATTTTTTCGATGATTTTTTTTCTCGCTGGATATGTTTTTGGCTCAGATAGTGAGTGATTTTGTCTATATTCCTTCAAGATTTTGTAAACACTTGATCGACCTACTCCAGAAATTTCAGCAACCTTACATACGATATTTTCTATAGCCAATCCACTATTCTCTTGCATCTGGTTCTTGTTGATATTTAGAATAATTTGTTTTTCACCTGCGCTAAGATGAAGCTTTTTAGCCCTTTTTCTGGGTGACGTTAAGCTGATTTCAACCACTTCATCAGCTGTATCTGTGTCAGACATTTTAGACTAATATTAAATTTCCACAAGAAAAATCAAGTCAAGACGTGCATAAAACGTTCGCGCTCATAAACGGGTATCCGTAACTGATTACAATCCTGTGCGTGGTGACGAACCATCAACGTGACGCTGAGAGTTCCCTCTATTATGCAGCGTTGCCAGGCTTAATGATCATGTTTTATTGGGAAAATTGTCAGAAATCGCCGAATGTTGAACAGAAACATTACAAGAAGTCTAACCTTGAAATGTGAGGCTACAAATCGATATTCTTATAGAGGGGAAGGGTAGGGAGCTGTTATGGTTCCTATTAACCTTGGTGAAAGTTGGAAACGGTAATATCATATGTGGCATACATTCGGTTGAAGGTGTGTGCACGGAAAATAGATTGCGGATAGGATTTTAATAGATAAATCTGCACAAAAAAACACAAAAGGAGATTTTTGTATTTCCCTGAAGAATATCTCAAGGTTATTTCAGATGTACTCATCGAAACTTTATGGAAGGATTATCGAAACCTTATTTTCAATTGCGATAGGGCCACATACCTCGACATCGCTTAATGTGAAAAATAAGACAATAGAAAAAAAATCCCTCACTGATGCTATCTCTTAGGAAAAATTTAACTATAAAGATTGCACAAAAATTTTCTTCACCTTTTTGAGCTTGTTTTCGCATCTCCGTATATGCCGTTCATAATTTGCTGCAGATCAAATTGGAATATACCTTTGTGATGCCATTTATTGTTATATAATGTCCTTTACAACAGTTATTGCACGTATTGCACCAACAGATTGATTTGTGATCCATGCGAATGTGATCAACCACTCTGGCGAAAACTCGCCGAGCGTGGCAATCGTGCGACTTTGTCTGGAGGCTCGTCGCTACAAGCCAATCAGGAAGAGGCCGACAGAGCGCCATGGCTACCGATCACGCGTTGATCACGAATCAACCACTGTTTACGATTACTTTGTAGCTTCGTTAGATACACTTTAAATAGTATTGGGTTTATTTGATTCACAGAAATTGTCAAAACTTGTCGAAAACTTGTTTTTTTAATTTTCATGCATTGCAAAATCACTAAAATCTCTTGTGGTAGTTTGTAGGTAAGATGTTTACCATATTTTTTTAAAATCTCCAGTATGCATCCCGTACGGACGCCTCTGATAGAAATATCAAAAAATATTCTACATCAAAGGATGCCTGTTGGTTCATGTCAAACTTCATGAAAATATCTAGAACAGAGAAAGAAAACGAAATTTTTCTTAACATTTCAACACCCTGTAGTTCAATAATTAAATGGTTCAGGATATATCTAATTTTTTCAGTTTACTTGATTTTTACAAATAGAATGGGAGTGGCTCGTCGGCTTTTTCTAAGAGACCATTTTCTTACGAATAATTTGACACCACACACTCTTATTTTATTTTCGCTATTTTTCTTACTTTATACTACACCGATTCAAATTTTAGAGGAACTAAGACAGAAAATTTTACTTTCTTGCCGAGCCATAAGAAATACTCCTGGGATGTTTAAAAGGGTTCGCTAATCCATGAGAAAGAGAATTGAAGCCTGTATTCTATCAGACGGAAGACATTATCAACAATTCTTTTGATAATTAAATTAAATAGTATTGGGTTTATTTGATTCACAGAAGTTGTCAAAACTTGTTTTTTTTTAATTTTCATGCATTGCAAAATCACTAAAATCTCATGTGGTACTTTGTAGGTAAGATGTTTGTGTTTAATTTTTATTCGTCAATTGATTAGAATGGACAAAATGGTTTTTATTTTTCACGCGAAAACGGTGCATTGAACGAAAAAAATTCTAGAGATCAAATTTGTTGCAAAATAAGTGAAGATTTCAGAAATTTTTATTTCCGAAAGAATCAATGGCGTACCATATTTTTTTTTAAAATCTCCAGTATGCATCCCGTACGGACGCCTCTGATAGAAATATCAAAAAATATTCTACATCAAAGGATGCCTGTTGGTTCATGTCAAACTTCATGAAAATCTCTAGAACAGAGAAACAAAACGAAATTTTTCTTAACATTTCAACACCCTGTAGTTCAATAATTAAATGGTTTAGGATATATCTTCATATAAACTTTTCTCCCTAAAATGAGCTAAGGAATCATATCCTGTATTTTCAGCCATTGATGGCTGAATTGATTAAATTACATCTTGTATAGTGTTGTTCTTAATATTTGTTGTAAATATTCTATCCAGTTGATGTTAAATAAATGTCCATCAAGGTGACCAACTTCCATATTCATACATATTCATTACCTTTATTAGTTCGTTTACCTTATCCCACCTCTACGTTATATTTTTTTGGTTTTGTTGATTCGTGAGTTTGGACGTGTCATAACTCATGTCCCAATCTTGCTCTTGTTATTACCTAATTTTGACTTTTTATACCGATTTTTACCTTTCATACCGATATTGACCTTTAGTGCTGTTTCGTTTACTTAGGCTTAGAGTTTTTGTTTGGTGGGAATTTTTGTGTGAATTTGGATATTCACTTTGATTAAGTATAGTCAGTTTATTCTTGTCTCTATAGGTTATTGGTAGCTCGGCATTATTTATTATCGTCGGTTATCTACTCTGTAGATGCACTCCTACTCCCGGGAGAGGGGGGTTGTCACGTGCCAAAATCACCTAACCTTTTTTTTACTATTTTCATCACTCACTAGTAATTTGAATTCCTCTTATTAATGGTAGAGTGTCCATCCCTAGGCCAAACCCTTTTCAATGATTTTCGTTTGGTAGATTTCATAGTTTATTGATTGTATAATTTCATAAGTATTATATCATTCTTTCTCAGTGATTCAGTATCGTGTTGAAAGGAAAACTCTGTGGTTTTTCTCCGTTATTTGGTTTCATATGGAACATATCTCCTTCAAGGCCACTCATTGAACCTTTCTTTATAAAGTTGGATGTTTCACGTCAGTCACTTTCATTGTTCAACCTCCAGATTATGAGATATTAGGTGCCGAACACCAGTTTGTGAAGTAGTACCCTTCATATTGTACCTTGCGTTTAGTTGTTTTGGTTTGGGTGCTACCCCGTCCATTTTCTAACGGGATTTTAATCTTCAGCGGTAAGTTTTTCGTATACCATCCTACCACGTGCATTACTGCATGTCATGAAGAAGTTTATTCAATATCTGCTTCCTTTTAGTGGGAAGGCATTGCAGAGGACCACAACACCCCTTCCCCTTGAAACTAACTTTTTAGAGGGAGGTGTAAAATGGATGTGTGAATTCTCTGCCCTTTTGGAATGTTTTATAAAGTATCCTCCCGACAAGTATTTCAGTGCGGACCTGTATTTGATCGTGCGGTCTTGGAGCACCGGCATGCTCTTCCCTGTGAGGTCTTAAGTCACCTGATTCACGAGCCCTTTGTACTACATTAACAAAGGCACGAGGGGTTGGTTGCACTCGATTGGGAAACCGATCCGCATAAATCCGTGATGCCGCGGCAGCATTTTGTAAATCAGAATCATGTCCACAAGTTCAGCATTTTCGTAAACATGTGCCATTTTTTATTTCGTTTGAGCCACGCAACAAACACCACTATTCACTCACGCGTTACCGACTGACACGTTGACTGAATACAACTGAATAAAATTGTAGTAAAAACATCGTGATAAGCGTTTCAAATTCTTTCGCTTTTTTGTTTCCGATGCGATGAACCGATAAGGCGGATTATATCCGTTGTTGCCAAACACGAGCACATAATATTATTATTGAGACAGGGCGGTACTCAAACTTCTAAAGGGCTATAACTTTGTTACTTTAATTTTACCACAAAAATGTTAAAGGAAAAAAACGTTTCTTTTGATCAGATCTACTCACTGTTAAAATAAATGACTCAACTTCGAAGTCACCCTGTATAGAATACTAAATATGATATATTTTCGTAGAGGGCGTTATAGAATCAACGGGTATGACCACGCAGGCGCGGTCAAGCTATCTGCCGTCAGAAATTCTATGGGGCCACAGATTCCAGTCCCTTATCACCTTTAAGAAGGATACAGGGGAATACGAGGTGGACTACGCTCTTTTCAACAACACGATAGAGGTAGACACACCATTGTGTAGTGCTAGGGAGCTAGATGAAAGGAGAGCCATGTATAGCAATGAAGGCATTGGTAAGTAATCTAGATGAAGTTAACATAAGTTATATATTGAGTGACAAAACAAGCTAAACTCCTACGTATGTTTATCCGATTTTAATAAATAATTTTTCAGTGCTCCTTACTAGTAAAATAATTACATTTTCAGCTTGATTCGTCAACTGACTGCAAAAGCTGGTTCAGTAATGTGTTGAGAATCCACGATTTCTTATACACTCATTGACACGATTAGGCATCGTGCTGATAAGGTGGTCGATATCCTGTCGGTATCTCATTCCAATCTACTGCAACTTTGCGAGTAAGAGCTGCTAAAGTCTGTGGAGGGTGTTGCAAATGCAAGAGCCTGCCATATTCAATTGGAGATAGGTCAGGCGGTCGTGGTAGCCAAGGTATATTGATCCATGAAGGCTGACGAAAACTGAATGCTTCTTTATCATCAAACAATACACGCAGCCACCACAAAGACATAACAGAAAAATCTGACCATTTTATCACTTTTTGTTCATGGCAAGATAAATCGATATGGAAAAAATTCTGAATTCTAATAAACATACGTAGGTGTTTACATTTTTTTGTCACTCGGTATACATTATTACACGTGATCAGTCGGAAAAAGCTGAGAGCTTTAGGAGGCTCAGTATGTGTGTAACAGACAAGGTAGTGCCATATTACTCTTATTGCATACACAGGGTGTAAACTTAGTGGATCAACGGGAGTCGGGCGATAGAGAGCCTCAAAACCTATCAAATGAATCCCTATATGTGTGGTGCGAAATTTTATAGTTCAGGAAATATTTGCAACTTTGTGAAATTTCGAAAAAAACGGGATAATGAACTTTCATTCGCAATTACAACTATACTATCAGGTTTAGGGCTATGATGTTTTTTCTGATATGATCTAAATAGTTAGTTTCAGCAATGGTTATGTTACTTTTTAACAGAGCTTAAGAGAATTTAAGATTTTTTGCGCTGATTTCTAATAACCATTGCTAAAAGTAACCATTTAGCTCATCTCGAAAAACAAATCACAGCCCTAAACTTATTGGTTTAGTTGCAATCGCGAGTGAAAGTTCATTATCCCATTTTTTTTTCAAAATTTCAAAAAATTGCAAATATGTCCTGAACTATAAAATTTCGGTCCACACATATGGAGGTTCGTTCGATAGGTTTTGAGGCCTTCTATCACCTGACATCCATTGATCCACTACTAACTTTACACCCTGTATACAGGCCGACCTTAAGGCTATCTCTTTTTAACCCCTTATAAGGTGTTATTTATGTATGTGGCCAAACTTCAGGAGGCAGGAGTAATTTTAGGATGAAAAGTTCACATAAACATAAGTCCGGCAATGCTCCATTTTTTTTAAATCGGTTTTTCCTAAATATCTTGATAAAATAAGTAATGACAGTAATTATTTGAAGTGTTTTCAAGAGTTTCAGCCTATAAAATCAGTGGCGTAGCAAGGAGAGGTGGTGGGGCGAGTCCGCACCGGGTCCTACCTTTTTTGGGGTGACACCCACCCTATGACTCAAATTTAAGAACAATGTACAATCATAAAAAAATTAAATCGCTATCACAGCTGTCATCTTCGGCGATTCCTCTACAAGCACTAGCTCAGCTCCAGGTATTCCAAGAGCTAGCTTCATTGTTCGAGATTTTGGCGAATACTGAAGAATTGAATTAGCTACATCCAAATTTACTGATTTTTATGATGATGTCTCAGAAACAGAATTACCAAAACTGCGATGACACTTAAAAGCCGCTAATGTTACAGTTTCTGATTGGGCAACTCTAGATTTTTTTAAGTTTATAGTAGAAACGGATTTTACAGAATTTCTTCCCAATCTTATGATTGCACTAAAATTGTTCATGACGGCGCTTTATGTGAAAGGAGTTTCAGTTAGCTAAAATTAATACTAAGCTATTTGAGGGCAACAATGACCCAATCGCATTTTTTTGAATTTATTTTACCTAAACTACAGAAAATGTTCCGCTAGAAATAACAGGAGTAATATGGTTTATGCACGATGGGGCTCCACAATAATGATTATGATGATGATGATTTAAATCAGTTACATTTTTTTTTGGGGGCATTTAAAATCCCTCGTTTACAAAAACTCCAGTCAACAGTGAAGAAGGATTAATCCAACCGATACGAGATTCATGTGATAAGATAAGACATACACCGTGTTAATTTATTGTGAAATGTTTTCATTGAAATAAAAGTTTTAAGTGTAGTTTTAAAAAGACGTTTTTCTGGTTCGTTTTTTTTTCATTGCCAGCGTAACCAATATGCAACGCCACTGGCAAAACATTGCAACAGTAAATAAAGTTATGTAAATATCTTATGTTTTCTTTTATCGAAAGCAAAAAAATCAAAAGATGACTTTCGGGTAACTTATAAAGAACATGCAATAAAGTGCTTTTTATTTTTTTCTCGTAAATGAAGCAGGATATGAAAGAAACTCAAGAGACAAAAAAGTTGTATTTTTATCTGCTTAAAGAAAATTGAAAAATAAAAAAAATCAGTGGCGCACCCATTTTTTGTCAAAGATATTGGTATGGCTGTTCTTCAGGACCCCACTGGACTTAATAATATCAATCTAATCGGTGCTAAATCAGCCACTTACTGCCCTTAATACTACTGGTCAATTTGAAGAAAATATTAAGTAATTAAACCTACTTTTAAAAAAAAGTTTGACACTGTATCTTGAAGATGAAGCATTTCTGGACCTACGTTCATATGAACTTTTGTTGTAGGAATAACTCAAAGAATCACCTCCTGAAGTTTGGCCACGTACTTAAATGACAGTCTGTATATCAATTCTAGAGGGATCGTTCTAGATAAATGGATTAATAACGACCTATCTTTAGAGAATATTTAATAAATATTATCAATATTATGTATTTGTTTAAAAACTTTACGCTGGTTTTCTTTATTTTGTTTCAGAAGAAAAACCTAGATTTTTGACAACTGGTAAGAGCCACATCGATGTTGCTGGCTTTTATAGATTGTATTGCTCTAAACCTAAAGTATTCCGTATGGGTATTGCTTTTGTATTTGCTTGCTTTTCTTAGTTGCCGCACAAAGTAAAATTGTGTTTTGCTACCGTTTTATCTTTTTATTTCTTTAGTTTTTCGCCACAACGCCTATGCTGATAAATTGATACAAAACGCCTAGAATGTTAAACCAGTGACTATACCCCATTCGTAGTCCATTTACGACCTGGCAAAACACAAAATGCCCAAAAGCGAGATTGCACAGGTCCGTATTTTCCTCAATGGTCTTGGAATAATCTAACATAATAAATGATTATTTTTATAGGAAGAAGTGCACATACTTTTCACAATTGTTTATTCTCTGGAAGTACTTGAATCATCGTCCGAATGGTTAATATTAATTATTACAGGTTTAATTTGAATATCGATCATATTGTCCAGATCCCACATCTTTGTCTCGATTGTCTCTTGAACGGATGCAATCTTTCCGATGGTTTGCCGTCACTCTGATCTATTCTTTGAAGCCACACATTGCCGTCAGGCTTTGGGAGCGTTTATTCTAACCATCGTTCAAATGAACTTCCGTCCATTTCTTCATGGTAGTCGGTCGTTTTATTTGATTCAGGTGTCCATGGGCAGAGGGCACAAAGGCATCTTCACTGCCAATGTGACAGTTCGTTTTCTTTTCCCTGGAAATAATTATTTCATACTCACACGTGGGCCCCGAGAAAATCCTCATACCATTCGTGAAGGTCATTTCCAACAACGTTTTAAAATAAATAATGGGAGGGTATTCTTGACGATCAGGTAATTGACCCTTTCGAGTTACCCCCAAAGTTGTCAGGAGATGGATACCTTAGCTTTCTAGCCAATAACCTACCAGAACTTTTGGAACAGACCTTAAACAACATGCCATTAAAACGGAGACAGAATTTGTGGTTTCTTCATGACGGGGCACCGCCAGACATTTTTAGAGGCGTCATTCAGTATTTGAATGAACATAATCCAAATCGTTCGATCGGTCGAAATGCTCCTGATCCTCGAAAATGGCCAGCAAGATCTCCTGACCTCAATCCGATGGATTTCTGGTATTGGGGAGAACTTAAAGGGATGGTTTATGGGGCTGGTCCAATAACAACTGAAGCACAACTTCGCGAAAAAAATTGTAATGCGGCTGAAATAATAAATGGACAACTTCGAGGATCTACAGTAAGAGAAACTGGGTTCGTCGTAATGAAGCTTCTGTGGAAAGTGGAGGACGACATTTTGAACACCTTCTTTAAATACAAAAAAAGTGCAGTGTGGGTTTTAAAAAGAAAAACAATGTATGTATCAAAAATAATAGCACAAAGATTTAACGTAATTTCGGAGCGGCAGATTATCCGAGCACGATGTGCACTACTCGACGTTACAGCTCGCTCTGCCGGGGTCGGCGGCTGATCGTCGTTCCCTCAGCTACCAGACCAGCAACCACACAGCTGTACCCCTTTGTAACTGGCAGTGGCTCGCCAAAATTTTTCGATTCTTACAGTATATATGTGTATCTGGATATGAATACATTGTGGTTTCCTAATATCTATTAATCATATTCATAGTTTCTTTTCTCTCTACTTAAAACGCCTTCCTCTTTTTTGTGTGTGTTTTTTTTTTGTTTATGGCACACAGACTGTGTAAATTAAACCATTGTACTATGTATTGCTCTCTAAATGGTACCTGTACTGTTGGGCAATAAATGCTTTATTATTATCATTATTATTTATAGTTGCTATGGCTTTCCACTCGAGTATCAAATAAAATCTAACGAATCATTTGATATTTTCTAGAGACAATTTATTTTTCTGATTGCGCTTTTTTATAACGCCACCCAGATTCAAATGTTGACGTCACCTAAACGACATAATAATCTCGTCCCAAGTACGTCAGCATTTGGTCATGTGACGTCGATGACGGGGAATGACCTTGAAATGACGTCATTATGACACACTCTTGCTTCTAGGCAAGGGTAATGATCCTCTTTCTAACTACCACATTTGAAAAAACAACATAGTTTGCAAACTTAAATCGTTTTTTTTTCTTTACAGGTCAATGCCGACCAGCACCCTGCATGTTCCCCTCTGCCCGTTCGCATTCCAGTGAGACTCTCAGCAGCTTGGATTCGCTGTCCATCGACGATGGGCACATCGAAATGAAGGTGCCCAGTCCGATTCCAGTAATGATCACAGCTCCCGATGAGCCTCCGCTCACGTTGAAGAACGGTACAGTGAAAAACCTCGAGAATCACAAAGAGGAAAGTACCGATGTCGTAAACTGTCCGGTATGACGAAGGTGTACCAGCTCTTCCTTAGGAATAACGCACTGATCGGCAACATTGCGGTGAGAGTAGCGTTCGCGCTGTCGTCACGATAAAAAGTTGAAAACGAACCAGATGTATGCATGTATGTGAAGTAGTGTCAAGGAATTGATTTCCCTCTAGTACTGCTTTCAAACGAAACCAGAAAATCATGGAAGGAAGGAAACCCCTTTTAGGCGAGAATTTTCTCTCTCAAAAATTATTTGATAGACAAGCTATGCTGAAAGATCATAAGTGTATCGAAGATTTTTTATCTCGTCTCATTTCAACACTAGCAGCACTCCTGTAGGATGCTGCGGAAACTTTTGTTGTGACCCACAAGGAAAAAGGTATGTTCAGATGGAAGGGCTGCTAGAACTATAGCCTCTCCTACTGAATGTATTAGCTTCCCTATACATGTACACTAGATCCACCACTGACCATGTTTTATAACTTTATAATAAGCAAAAAAATCAATATTACAAATTTATACAATTGACAAGCTCTTCAGAATGTAAAAAAATTATAGTATTCTCAAGAGTGAATTATCTAAAGCTCACAGGGACCTAAATATTTATATTTGTTGTGCATGTAACTATTTTCAAACTGGAAATGAAATATAAAAGAACCTTCGACATATACAGACATATACATGAGTCAGTGTTCCTGGTTACAGTTAACCGAGGACCGTTTTTATTTAGTTGGAATAGTTGCGGTTCCATGGGAATGAAAAAAGTGTCACAGACTTTGCACTTTATATTTTCTAGAAAAAATATTTCAACATCCGCGTTAGCACTTGTACACAGTTTTTGAACAATTCTAGTTCATTTTTAGAACTACGTATGAATTTCCTGTTGCTTATTCATAGTTCCGGAACCATACGATAATTTGGCAATTGATAGCAGATTTCCCCAGCTAGTCAGTGGTAACCTTGAATTAACCTTGACCATGACCTTCAAGGTCATTTGAAGGACAAGTCGATTTTTCTAAATGGACTCTCCCATTTTAGCCCCGTAAACGAGAAGAGCGAAAAATTCTACGTTCAAATATAACTTTGACCATTCCTGAATCTCCACCTTAGGAGGCCATAGTCAAGGTCAAACCCAGGTATGGTGATTTAACTGGAAAGCCAGCAGTCATATAGGGATACTACCCAGACATTGTTTTCATGATTTTTCCATTTGAAGATCAACGCTTGTTTTTTCTATAGGACCCTGTACTTTTGACCCCGAAATGGAGAATATGTCCTTGACCATTTTGGAACTTGACCTTGGATATGACCATCATGTTCAAACCACAAGTTTAACTTTAATTCAGAAAACTGTTATCTCCAGATACACAGACTGTTCTTTCGGAATTGTTTCAGGCTACAAAAATCGATTTGACCATTACATGACTTGAATGTTATCATGATCAAAGTCAGATCCCAAGTCACCTTTAGATATCCAGGAAAAATAATGAAAATAATGTCTCATCATGGTTAAACACAAATTTACGTTCATTTCTTTAAGAAAACTGTAATCTCCAGATAAACTTAACTGTTCTTTCAGGATTATTCCCTTGCTACAAAAATCGTTTTGGATTTCACATGACCTTGAAGGACAACGTGGTCAAGGTCAGATCCAAAGATATTCGGATACCCGGGGGAAAATAATGAATGTCTTGGTAGTTTACCTGGTCGACTACAGGTTTTCAGGTTATATCACTGTACATGAGTCTGACCTTGATAATGACCTCCTGAGGTCAAAATTTAAACGTAACATTTCCGTTAGTGGAAATAGAGAATATGTCCTTGACCATTTTGGAGCTTGACTTGAACATCATGGTCAATCAGTTTACCTCCATTTCTTGATAATTCAGAAAATTGTAATCACCAGATGAATTGACTTCACTGCTCTTTGAGGATTGTTTCCTGGTTACAAAAATCAACTTGGCGTTCACCTGACCTTGAAGGATATCATGGTCAAGGTCAGACCCAAGGTCACCTTTGGATACCCTGGGTAAAATAATAAATATGATGTCCTTATACGATTACTGGTTTTCAAGTTTTATCGCCGTATATGGTTTGACCTCGATCATGACCACCTGAGGTCATAATTTAAACCTAAAAATTTCCGTCAACGATGACCCTGGAATTGACCTTGGCCTTGCCCTTGAATGTCAACGCTTTCTTCTATTGTGAGCCTGTACTTTTGACCGCGAAAATGGAGAATGTCTTCTTGGCAATTTTGGAACTTGACCTTCGACTTGGTCAGATCCAAGGACACCTTTCAATATCCAGTGAAAATAATCAAAATAATGTCTCACTAGTTTTCCTATACGATCACTGGTTTTCAAGTTGTATCACCGTACATGGCTTTAACCTTGATCATGACCTCCTAAGGTCAAAATTTAAACATAATTTTTTTGCCAATGATAACCTTGGAATTGACCCTGGCAATGCCCTTGAAGGTAATTTGAAGGTCAACGCATTTTCTAGTGGGACCCAGTGCTTTTAAACGCGGAAATGGAGAATATGACCTTGACCATTTTGGAACTTGACCTTGGACTTGACCATCATGGTTTACTTTCATTTCTTGAGAATTCAGAAAACTGTAATCACCAGGTAAACTGACTTCCTGTTTCCAGACTACAAAAATCGGCTTGGCGTTCACATGACCTTCAAGGTCATCATGGTCAAGGTCAGATCCAAGGTCAGCTTTGGATATTCGGATATTCGCTCTTTTCACTTACGGCATTCAAAATGGGGGACTTCATTTAAGAAAAGCGACTTAACCTTTAAATGGCCTTGAAGGTCAAATGCAATGTCACTATTGCATGTCTCTGGAATAATCGCGGGGCTTAGTCTTTTCTGACCAATATTAGTTCACAGATTATCGTGGGGTTCCGTAACTTTTCATACAACTTGTATACAAACTTCCTGTTGTTTATACATGTATGCCACTACCAAACTTCCAGGTTAGTTAATAGATGAGACTGTTGCATGGGAAGTAATTATTTTTCTAGAGGCCCCAAAACATGGGATGAACACTCCGTGCAACCTAAACGGACACGGTACTCTAGAATACATTAGTGATTTCATTTGTGATTGATCCGCTCACATTAGCATTCAAGGTGGGCGATAGAATCAACTGTTTGTAAAGAAGGAAAAATATACCGACAATGTTTGACTCTTATTGCAATTTCCTTTTTTTGTTCTGATATCCATATATTTTCAAAGAAATTAATCCTTTTGAAACCCTTAATTTCCAGGTATTTTGTCACTCGTTTTATACTACAGAAATAATAAGTGGAATTTTATTTTTCAAACATTTGGTAGAAGTGGATTCACCATCGCAAAAAAAATCACTTGACTGTTGTTGCAGCAGTTTTGAGCCTGAATTGAAGATGTTACAATGTGTTTTTGAAAATGGCGCTCAAGTGTCAATTATTCTAATGATATTTTTGTCCGACCTGAGTGGGCTAATGGTTCTTCCAACATTTGACAAGTATTTAATTATAATTAGACCATTTTTATACGCTTATTTTTGTATTTTTGTAAACATAATCATACCTTGTACATCGCTGGCCGATAGTACTCTATTCACTTCAATATCAAGAATAATGATGAAATAAAACTCAATGATATTCCTGTTAAGGTATAAGCTGTCTTCCTTGCCCAAAGTAGGCTGAACACCCTAACACTTAGTTTAACAATGATTTAATGGCATTATATTAGGTGTTAATGACTACAGTGGACGCTTATTACTTGGCTACTTGATTCAATTGTAGAACGCCTTTATGGCCTCCTTGATTGCCATAGTCTTCTCTTCTTGAGATTCCTAGCGAAAGGGCTCTCCTATTATAAGGTTATGTTTTCTTTCTGAATCTTAAGAAATTTCAGGTTTATGAAACCGATAATAAAAATTTAGTTTTATCAGCCTCAAATTTGTTACAGGACGTAAAAATAGAGCACTGGTACGAAACAGTAGAAATCTAGGAATACCCTGCGTTTCTCAAGGACAGGAAAAAGCTATAAAAATCAAGGAGCCCATAAAGGCGTCTTATAATTGTTGTAGGAACGACTGACGATACGGCACAGATTTTTTAAAGTAGTTTTGCGGCCTTTTTGGTCTGAAAAAATATACAATTAATTTTTCGGTCTAGTAGAAAAAGTATCATATACTGATTGATAAAAAAGGTAAACACCTACGTATGTTTATCCGATTTTAATAATTTTTGGCATATATGTTCAGTGTCCCTTACTAGTAAAATGATTAAATTTTCAACTTGAACCGTCAAATGACTGCAGAAACACAAAAATATTATCAAAACAAGCAGCGCATATACTCCATCACTGGAGTGCAAGTTAAAAGAAAGGATATTATTCAAAACTACCTAACAATAAAATTATTGTAATAATTAACCCTGCAAAACGTTTACCATGGTACACGTACGAAGGCTTTACAAATATTTTAACGCCTAAACTTATCTGGACAGTGGTCAGACGACCAGTTACGGCTCTAGGCGCAGCCGAGATGTCCTCAGCTCACAAACGCTCGGGTTAAAAACCAATGGCCAGCAGTGGGCAGTGGGAGCTTCACAAAGTGGGGGTTGCTTGCCGCCATGTTTACGGTATAAAAAAACCCTGTTCACATGAGGGTTTTTTGTCAAGCGGAAGGGGTGGCTTCCAGCAAAAACGGCTGCAAAATAGCTACAAGACAAAGCTGGAAGTAGTTCTTTGCAATGTCTTTCTACGCTAAGGGTTAAAATCCCATTAGAAAATGGACGGGGAAGCACCCAAACCAAAACAACTAAACGTAATGTACAAAATGAAGGATGCTACTCCATAATCTGATGTTTGGGGCGTAATATCGAAGAAGGGACAGGATCAGCCAGCACTCTCAGAAATGGAGAAGTATCTCCAGACATCTCCGCCAGGCACGGGAACTCATTAAAGGGCCCAGTGCTAAGGATGGACGCTTCTGCCTATCTCTGGATAGAGCCAACGTAAGGTTGCTGGTGGGACTGTTGTCTGGCCATAACACATTAAGGCGTCACCTGCACGTGATGGGGGTGGCTGAGGATCCCTTGTGTGAATGCTGCGGAGTAGAGGAAGAGACCTCGGTGCACGTTTTGTGTCGCTGTGAAGCTCTGAGCTACTATAGGCAGACTATACTGGGGTCCATTACGTTGGACCTTCAGGACGTCAAGAAGCTTATTGGACTCAAGGCGATTCTCAACTTCGCTAAACGGGTGAGGCTTGTGATCTAAGGAACGTAGAGGTGCATAAGGGCTTAAGCGGCCTATGCACTGGCTCCTTATGGTGGCCGGATTGCCTCTAATTTCACGAGTTACTCATTCATTCAATATCCCAAATTGTCGTATTCGGCGATATACCGTACGCATACCAACCATCCTTCCATGCTCTTCAAACCACTGACTAGCGATGTCTCGATGTACTACTGAATCTGTCTCTCAGAGCCAGAAGTCTTAACCGGCAGTCTTGTCGCTCTGTGAGCCCTCGGTCGTTCACACTGCAGTGTACGAGGGCGGTTCAATAAGTACCCGTGTTTCACGACAGCGGGCGTTCCTGAGGGAATTTAATGTTATCATCGTGTGCTGTCATTAGATTGATAGGTTAGTTTGGATTTGGCAGCCGTTCGAATAACACGTGTTTCGTGATTTTCGCTAAGATGGAAAAAGAGCAGTATCGTTCGGTAATTCGCATTTTGTTTTTGGATGGGAAAACATGCGAGGAGATAAAGGCAAAGTTGGATGTTGTTCATGGGAACACTTCGCCATCCATGACCATAGTTAGATATTGGTTCAACGAATTTAAACGTCGACGAACCTCCGCTTTTGATGGCTTTTGATGATTTCGTGGCAAGATAAATCGATATGTAAGAAATTCTTTAATTTTAATAAACATACGTAGGTGTTCATCTTTTTTTTTGTCACTTAGTATATTTATGTATGTACTTAGAGTGTCAACTAGCATAGTCCCTCCATTTTGCCAGATTTGCAGTTGAATTTTCTTCCATATAGAACTGCGATAGCAGCGCTCTAGCGGCTCTTGTACAGGACCAATTGTCTTGCAAGCAAGTATGCACATACCTGTATACCATTTTAATCTGGATAGGAATCCAAATGTTTTCTCAATTTGTCCCTAAACCTATCAGCTAGTTCGTATATAATTAGAATATAGTTTCTCTATTTATATGAGGATTACTGGCAAGCACTATAAGGTGAAACATGTATAGTTTTGTATATTATGTAGTAAGAAAGTATTTTTTCACTACTATAAGCTGAGAATCACAATTCTCCATTGAGAAGTGGCTTTTCTCTCCCTGGATAAGTAATGATAATAAAATAGCACCAAGGTAAATAATGAATAAAATTGTCTATAAAGGGTTTTCTATTAAGGACTTGACAACTTTCTTCTTAAATAAAACGCAAACCATTTGAGATATCTTAAAAATTTTATTATTGGATAATACTCAAAACTTGTATGGAATTCGACCTCGTTCATATGTCCACCACGGGCACGTTTGCAGCGATCGATTCGTTGAGCCTAATTTTCCGACAGAAACGGCCGTTATTTCTCGTTCAATATATTTTTTTATATATCGAAGCAGTTGCGCAGGCAGAGGCCTAAATGCCGGAGACCGCGGCTGCTATGATGATCCCAAAGAAATTTTGTTAACCAGATTTTTGAACTACCTGAGGTTCAGGTCAGTAGAACTGGAAAAAGCTTCCACTTGTAGATTTTTCCGCAATCTCGACACCCTCGGGACAAAGGAGCGGTCGTATCGGCCAGTTCTGGACGTAGGAAATTCGACACGGTTAGAATGGGAGGTCAAAGTCAGGCGGGTCAGTCTCGCAGACACATCGCGCGGCGGCATCATGAAAGAGCTCTGAGGAGCAAAGCCCGTTGGTGTAGCGGTAGAAACGAGCTAGATCGCCGACGGCCCGCCGGTGCGAAAGAGTCCCGAGACTGTCTGTTAGAGAAGAGTCATCGATCAGTCGGACCGCCCTCCTCTGGACAGTATTGAACATGGATTTTGTAAAAATGAGACTCATCACTGAAGATGATTTTGTGATGAAATTGTTCATTTTCTTGCAACATTTCTAGAGCCCAAATCGAGGACGTAAGGATCGAACGGGTTTAGTTCTTGAGTTAACTTGATCTTATAAGGGTACAGGCCAAGATCTCTTCGCAACATTCGCCATAGTGTGGTTTGAGCGATGCCCAATTCTTGAGAACGCCGTGGAATAGACGTGTTCTGTTCTTTTGCTTGAACGGCAGCAATATTCTCGGTACTTCAATCAACTCGTTGTCTCACTGGCACGGGAACATCCAGCAGGGAATATGTGGGCTCAATTTTTTTACTAGGCTATGAATTGCTTGTCTACTAGGACGTGAATTACGTCAAAAAGTTGCAGCCACGAACTCGGAATTTCGGTAGTAAATTTTAATTATTTGTAAGCGTGTTCGTTCGTGTACTTTGCCATAATGAAAATGTGTTCTTTAATGCATGTTTTGACATTGACAGTTCGGTAATTGATTTAAAGGTGCGTTCACAGTGAAAGTTCAAAGTTGTCAAGTCCCTATTGGAAAACTCTATAGGTACTTGGAAGCTATTAAGAAATATTGAGTGTAGCTCCTCATAAAGCTACTGCAATCGACAAAATATTGGAAAATGTATTTCGGTGCTAACAGAAAGAAAACACACCAACCGACATTTGCACTTCCCATCAATTTAAAACGGATCTGTCTGCGATATTTTTTAATTTCAGTTTTACAACAACCAACTATATCCATCCATATTTATAGAATTCGTTGGAAACTTTATGATTGTGCTGCGAAATCGAATATTTTGTGATATACAGTGTGGCCCAACAAAAAGGCTGCACCACCATCTGTGACTCTCCTGGTACATTTTGGAAAAATACGCTCGAACAAGTTAATTTTGATTTCTCGGGGGACGTCTCTTCATCTAGTGTCCTACAATACAGGGTGATCCAAAAATAAGATATTGCATTACACTTTAGATTTTTAAAACGAAATCTCCATTTTGTCTTTAATTTTTAGATTCTCATTTGGTTCCATTTTGGTAATACAGTTTTGTTATTTCTACCCTTTCTTGATTTGAATAAGTTTTTGTTCAATATTTATCACAACTAGGTAGGTAAGTTGACAATTTGAAATGAAAGACAAATTTTTCTATGGCATACGATGACACTGACTGATGCTAAATGTTCTTGCTGGTATCCATGATAATTATTTTTTGCTGTGCATTCCATTATTAACAGTAATAAGTTAGTCGAACTTTATTATAAACTCAAATAGCTTTAAAAGGATTGAAGATTCGTGGAAAATCTAAAAATTAAAAAAAAATAGTGGTTTGCATTTAAAAATCTGAAATGTAACGCGATATCATATTTTTGGATCACCCCCTGTAGATGAAAAGACGTCCGCCTAGCAATCAAAATCGACATGTCCGAGCGTTTTTCCCAAAATATACCAGAAGAGTCACAAATTGGAGTGCGACCTTTTCGTTGGGCCACCCTGTATAGCGTTAATAGTGAAATCTCATACACACCTCGTTTGAGAATGCCATCATTCTTCTCGCACATTATATTCTTCGGCGCAACGTGCCTCGGGTTATAAAAACGCTCGGCACTAATGACCCACTTCTCAAACTAAGTATGTAATGTACTATTTTTACAGTATTTACTCATAATAATTACAGAACTATTTCATGGAAAACGCCCCAAATATACAAATACGTTGATAATGAACCACTAGATACTTACTGAAAATATAGACAAGGGTTATTCAGTCAGTTAGATTTATTGCGAATGAATATATTCCAATATCAAATTGACGCTTGGTAAAGAAAAATACGATGCTTTGTTGCCACTTGTCTTTTTGGGTCTCTGTTCGGTCGTTAACTTTGTTAGTTGATTTTGCATATTCAACCAGTGGTTTTCATATTTTTACCGAAATTACGGAACTAAATTGTAGTTAAAATATTTGGACACTCAAAATTTCGCAAACATCTATACGTTGAGAGTCCACGATATCCTAAAATTCAATACGTATATATAGGATTACTCTGTAGAACTTCTATTTTCAAACTTTAGAAACTTAACGTCAAATTTTTGTAAGCACTGGAGGAAAGGGGTACGTTGAAGAAGCTCATGTTTTATAAATCAATATCATTTTCTAGCCCAATTCAGGTTTAATTTTTGTTTTACATTTCTGTTACATCATCCCCATCCATGTATTTATGTTTTATACATTTATTTTTAATTTATTTATTTTTTATACAGGTACTTAATATTAGTAGTATGGTGTAATGTGTATAGTAATAGATTGTAACATAGTCACTGTAGTGCCATTGTATTTGTCTTATTATATTTTGTAAAAAAGTTTGAAAATAAATACAAGCGACATGAAGTCCATAACGATATTTTATTTCACATTTTGGCTGTACCTCTAAAAATAAAGTGGTGGGGGTATTCAAAGGCTTCCTTAAAATAACCCCTGTATCTTCAAAACGGCTGAGCTGATTTAACAATCGTGGGATGGTAGCCCAACTGAACGATTTTTTTTGGTGGCGGCTACTCTTCAATAGATGGCGCTGCATATCGATAGCTACCACAAGGTCCACCATTTTGAATGACTACCTTGGGCTGCTGAAATAAGTTCAGTAAGCCTCGATGCATACAGGGAGGGTGACGCTTTGTTTTCCAACAAAGCCAAATCTAATACGCAATATTAGAATATAATAAACTAATCGAATCAAAATAATCTTTTCATCCAAAAATGGGGGGATTTTAACCCCCCTCACGGAAATTTAAGATCCTTGATCATTGAAGATTCGTTGCCCGTCCCGAACCCCGACCACCCGCCCCTAAAGGATCTTTTTGACTAGTTAAATTTTGTGAGGTCTGTGATAGCACTTTACAAAGAAGCGCCATCTATCGGATGGTAGCCCAACTGAACGAATTTTTTTGGTGGCGGCTACTATCCAATAGATGGCGCTGCATATCGGTAGCTACCATAAGGTCCACCATTTTGAATGACTACCTTGAGCTGCTGAAATCCGTTCAGTAATCCCCAATGAAAGCAAGGAGGAGGACGCTTTGTTTTTCAACAAAACCAAATCTAATACGTAATATTAGAATATAATAAACAAATCTTAAACATAGTTTCATCAAAAAATGGGGGGATTTTAACCCCCCTCACGGAAATTTAAGTTTCTTGATCTTGGAGGATGCGTTGCCATAGACCCATCCCGAACCCCGACCAACCACCCCTAAAGGATCTTTTTGACTAGTTAAATTTTGTGTGGTCTGTGATAGCACTTTACAAAGAAGCGCCATCTATCGGATGGTAGCCCAACTGAACGAATTTTTTTTGGTGGCGGCTACTATCCAATAGATGGCGCTGCATATCGGTAGCTACCATAAGGTCCACCATTTTGAATGACTACCTTGAGCTGCTGAAATCCGTTCAGTAATCCCCAAAGCAAGCAAGGAGGAGGACGCTTTGTTTTTCAACAAAGCCAAATCCAATACGTAATATTAGAATATAATAAACTAATCGAATCAAAAAATAGGGGGATTTTAACCCCCCTCACGGAAATTTAAGATCCTTGATGATTGAAGATTCGTTGCCATAGACCCATCCCGAACCCCGACCAACCGCCCCTAAAGGATCTTTTTGACTAGTTAAATTTTGTGTGGTCTGTGATAGCACTTTACAAAGAAGCGCCATCTATCGGATGGTAGCCCAACTGAACGAATTTTTTGGTGGCGGCTACTATCCAATAGATGGCGCTGCGTATCGGTAGCTACCATAAGGTCCACCATTTTGAATGACTACCTTGAGGCGCTAAAATCCGTTCAGTAAGCCTCGATGCATACAGGGAGGAGGACGCTTTGTTTTTCAACAAAGCCAAATCTAATACGTAATATTAGAATATAATAAACTAATCGAATCAAAATAATCTTTTCATCCAAAAATGGGGGGATTTTAACCCCCCTCACGGAAATTTAAGATCCTTGATCATTGAAGATTCGTTGCCATAGACCCATCCCGAACCCCGACCAACCGCCCCTAAAGGATCTTTTTGACTAGTTAAATTTTGTGAGATCTGTGATAGCACTTTACAAAGAAGCGCCATCTATCGGATGGTAGCCCAACTGAACGAATTTTTTGGTGGCGGCTACTATCCAATAGATGGCGCTGCGTATCGGTAGCTACCATAAGGTCCACCATTTTGAATGACTACCTTGAGGCGCTAAAATCCGTTCAGTAAGCCTCGATGCATACAGGGAGGAGGACGCTTTGTTTTTCAACAAAGCCAAATCTAATACGTAATATTAGAATATAATAAACTAATCGAATCAAAATAATCTTTTCATCCAAAAATGGGGGGATTTTAACCCCCCTCACGGAAATTTAAGATCCTTGATCATTGTAGATTCGTTGCCATAAAACCCGTCCCGAACCCCGACCAGCCGCCCCTAAAGGATCTTTTTGACTAGTTAAATTTTGTGAGGTCTGTGATAGCACTTTACAAAGAAGCGCCATCTATCGGATGGTAGCCCAACTGAACGATTTTTTTTTGTGGCGGCTACTATCCAATAGATGGCGCTGCATATCGGTAGCTACCATAAGGTCCATCGTTTTGAATGACTACCTTGGGCTGCTGAAATCCGTTCAGTGAACCCACATACATATTGTGACAACAATGACACTACTAGCGCCATCTGTCGGGAACCTCGCCAGGGATTCTCATTCGAAGCGAGGTGCGAGACTGACCCCGAAGGTTCTGGAGTGGCCGCTATGTGGCGTACAGGAACTTTCTAGAATTAACGAGTACCTGCGACCTGCGATGCCGCATGTATAAGCCGACGGCTGAAGCGGAGTGCGGAGTTAAAGTGAATAGCGAGACATAATTCGCAAATAAGTAGTCAGACATAAATAGTGGTGTACATAAATGTTCTATCCAGTTAACTTAAAGATAGTTGTGTTGTGTTGTAAATAAATTAGTACATTTCTTTTTGTGGAATCGAGTGTTTTAATTCACAACCAATAGAGCCGAGAAAAACGCATTTGCACTTTTAAGCCTTTTATGTAACAAATGCATCTACAGACATTAAACCAAAAATATTAAAAGTATTAAGTTAGATCCTGTTACCAACCGTTTATCGAGATTCTAGAACAGGTAAAAAGATCCTTACATATATATATATATATATACCACTGTAAGTTAGTTTAAAATCATTTTGCACAATAGTTGCTATTTCTTCCCAATGTTATTGCAGCTCCTGATGAAGATGGCAAAGTCCATTGAAAGCTGGACATTAATAAAGTATAAAGAGTCCTCATTGCTTGAATTTTGTCGAAGTACCCAACAAAAGGGGGAAGCTTTATTTTTCACCTAACTGGTCTAGACGACAATGACGATGTCTCAAGTTACATTTATATGTATATATATATATATACATATATATCAAATCGATATAAGTATTTCTCTACAAATGAATCAAAATCTAAAATCATCTCTATCATTGTCTTCATATTCTGTCGATCAAGGCTCAAGGCGATGGAATATCGCTGTATGGCAACGTAACATCAGCAGAGTCTGAAATAAGAAATCTATTGATAACTTCGAACAATTCGGGTGATGAAGAATCAATCTATCCCTCTGACAGGGTGTTTTCAAGGTTGGGTCATTATTTTATCAGTTTGTCAAAAGAAGACGATTTACCCAAAGTCACCTACATATATAAAAGTAGCATAATAAATACTAAAAAGTATTTAAAAAAATCATTATCAAGTTAAATGGATGCCGTCTTTACAAAACATAATTGTTCCCATTTGTTGATTTAACTCAAAATCTTTCTTAGCGAATTAAACCGCAAACATTCTCAGTGCGCTGTTGAAGTTGTTCCAGAGTATTTACTGCTCCATCATGATACACCTACTCTTTCAAATAACCTCCCAAAAAAATTGCAAGGCATTAAATCCGGGGAGGGAGCATCCCAAGAAATGGGTCCATACAATAACCCAAAAAGATTGCCAAACTCATAAACCATAACAGTAGTAAACAAAAAACGCTAAGATTTTACACGGCCGTGGTCGAGAATATCAAAATATCTGTATAATATTCTTTTTTTTTTCTTCAAATTTTCAATCTTTTACTATTTCTTTTATTATCCAACTTTTGTATAGGTGATTTTTGGTAATACCCTGTATAGAGATGGCAAAAACTTCACACCCATGACTAACATTTTTCGACTTGATTTTCATATACTACATTTGTTGGATGCCGCTAAACATGAATCGAGGGGTTACTGACTGGTAACCACCTCGCAATTTTTCGAAAAAGAGATGTATTTTTTTGGATGTTATATGAGATTTACATCACGAAGAACCATGTCACCCATTTCCGTCCGTCTGTCTTTCGATTAAACTTTTGCACAACGTTACTTCTATACCAAGGACGCAAACGGTTTGTAGTGGAAATCGGTCCAGTGGTGGCAGAGAAAAAAGCAAAAAACGAAAAAGAATGTCATCGCTTGATGATTCGTTGAATAAAGAAATAATAATATTTTTCATGATCAAGCGATGCCCTACCGATAATTTTACCATCCATCTTGCCATTCCCCATATCGTCAGATGGAGCAGATCGTTAAGCCAAAATTGACAGAAGGATCTAAAGCATTTCTCTATCATTTTTTTAACGATAAACGTATGGTTAAGCCTAAAATGTGTGAAATATAGCTAAAAGGTGTGTGGAATTATCGCATCTGGGAGCGTATAAACATTCTAACATTAACAAATAATAAATACCTCTCATTCCCTAAATTCTCCCCCTTGAAAATTTGTTCAAAAGTGATGAGGATCCTCGGAAACGTCAACAAACCAAGTTTGAGCGATTTTAATTCGCTTCGTTTTTGGACTCGTTCTCCACCGCCATTGCGCCAATTTCCAAAACCAAAAAAGTCCCTAACGAAAACGAGTCTCATTATCTTTCATGATTTACATGTCATATATCATCCAAAAACATATCCCATTTTCGAAATTTTTCGCTATCGCAATACTTCCTCGTCTAGTGCCATAGGAAGTAAAAAACTTAACAAACATCGTCCGGAGCGAAAAAATACTTTTTTTTGGTATTTCGTTTAAATAAATTGTACAAATTTTGACCGGGTTATTGCCTCTTGATTCCTGTTTAGAGGCATCCAAAAAATGAGATTCTGCCAGAAAATTTTACCCGCGAATATGAGTTTTTCGTCTCGCCTAAGATACAGGGTGTCCTGAATGTTGGGATTTTCGCTTGCAGAGTCAACTACGTTAAAATAAAAACATACTGACTATTCATTTGGTAAGTAATTTCAAGTATTGCCAAATAAAACAAAATATTTAAAAAAAGAATCACGTTACATTATCAAAACAAGCAGCACATATGCTCCACCACTAGAGTGCAACTTAAAAGAAAGGATTTTTTCCAAAACTACCTGACAATAGAATTATTAGACCATGATAATTAACCCTACAAAACGTTTACGATCGTACACGTACGAAGGCCTTACAAATATAGGCTATACAAATATTTTAACGCCTAAACCTAAACTTATCTTATTTGGGCAGTGTTCTTCCAGATCCAGCTCTAGGCACAGCCAAGATGTCCTCAGCTCACAAACGCTCAGGTCAAAAACCAGAGGCCAGCAGTGGGCAATCAGTGAGGAACGGTAGGGGCTTCTTGCCTCGATTTCCAAAATTTACGGTACAAAAAAAACCCTGATCACATCAGGTCTTTTTGTCAAGGGGAAGGGATGGCTTCCAACAAAATTGGCTGCAAAACAGAGCTTGGGGGGTATGAATGGTGGTTCTCCAAAATGCCTTTTCACGGTGAAGGCTAAAATCCCGTTAGAAAATGGACGGGGTAGCACCCAAACCAAAACGACTAAACGTAAGGTACAAAATAAAAGGGTACTACTCCATAAACTGATGTTTGGGGCGTTAATATCCCAGAATCTGGAAGTTAACAAATAAAAACGTCCACACACAACCAAAACCACAGACAAATGGCGCTGGACGCGTCTGTACACGGAATTAAAAGAAGGTATCTTGATAGTAAATCATATTTCAAAAGAAGGTATCTCGATAGGTAAAGAAGGTATCTTGATAGGAAAGCAAATATTCATATACGGCTAGTACGTGTAGAAATCACAAGGTGGCGCGCTGGTTGCCAACTCTCTACGAGGGACCAACAATATTTTATGAGGAAGTTTCAATGATAGTCGTTAATAATACTACTAGCATTAGTGTCCAAAAGATTTCAACGCAATACTGAATCGTTGAGCAAGAAAGATATAATACGTGTGAAATTATGAAATTTGCCAAAAGAAAATCATTAAATAGGTTTGGCCAAGGAATCGGCACCCTACCATTAATAAGGAGGAATTCAAATTGATAAGTGAATAAAATAGTAAAAAGAAAGTTACGTGATTTTCCACGTGACCCCTTTCACATGTTTTGTTTGTAAACACTGCTTCAAGCTATCAAAAGCAGGAGTTTGTTTACCTTTTCCTAAATTTGCAACATTTTGGACTGTCTAGCTCTTCAACCGTGGTCAACCTCACAGCATATGCAGCTCTGATGGAAATAAACATCGAGGACAATGGCGACGTTCTGACTACACTCGCGGAGTATCAATAGAATATTGAAGATACTGATATCAAGTCGATAACTATGTAATTGTTCTAGGAATGTGTCAGTTTCTGTTTTTCAAATGCGGTTTGCTTATAAACTAGGTTAACCTAGATAGCACGCGACGCCTGATATGGATACTGACTCACATGGTCTTGGTACAACATCGACGTTTTGACGTAAGAGGGGATTGTGGGAGGGAAGGGTAGCAGGGTTGTACTGGTTCATTTACCTCTGTTTGGAACTCAATATCTAGGTTATTTTAAAGCTTAGCTGTAAATCATGATTGTTATTGATCCGCTCTGTAAAGCGCCAACTTTGAGGACACCTTTAAGAAATAGATTGATAAATCCTCGAGTTTGCGCCTTTTATATGGGTTAATACCTTTATTACCTGGGGATTGTTGCAGCCTATAAAATTCTGCTAGCTCAGCTCCAGAACATAAGGGTGTGTCGATGGGAACAGTACTATCGAATTTCGAGTAGTTAACTTCATAGCCTTGCCGTTCTTTATTGTAACACACTACTGGTTCAAACCTGTGGCCCCACAATATTTCACTGGCTATGTAACTTGATCTGGCTTGCGTCGTTTGACCCGTGCTTTCAATCGTTCCTGAAAAAAAATGGAGTCTTGTGAGCTCTCTGTAATTCCCACGAAACGCTGTCGTCACTCGGCGTTGATGTCGCATCGTTGCGAGCGAAGAATAAAAAAATATTCACGCTAAAAGGTTTGGTTTTATTGATAAAAAATTATCTTTAAAACTCTCAGTTAAATGTTCATCTGAGTCGAGAATAAAATCTGAGGATCCATTGTTTCTTATCAAACAGTGACATATTAGCAAGGCTAGCAAATGTTACGGGCCTCGCGGACTTGAGGGCGCTAACGCTTTGGGACCTGAAGCAGCTCCCCTTTGAGAAGTGAGCATTTAGCCAGGAAGGTGAAGCTCATTGTTTTTTTGGTATCAACATATGAAGGGCCTTACCTTTCACTGACGCGGATACGTCGGCTGTCTGTTCTTTAATAACCAAAATTATCCACGCCGGAATGGAGCAATACATCCCTCGCACACTGAAAGCGCTTAAGCCAGTGTCCAACGGCTGGTTTAACAAATCGTGTGACTGCTCGCTAGCAGAAGATCAAGGCACACAGAACCTTTTTGCAAAACCCCACTGTAGAGAACAGACGTCAAGGCCAGAAACAAATATAACGAAGCGGTTCGCAATGCCAAAACCCAGCATGATATAAAAGTTAGGCACAGGGTAATGTCGCAGCGCAATGGCAGTCGGTCTTTCTGGACGCTGGCCAAGCAGATTGAAAAGAACTTCTCACACAGTAGCCTTCCACCACTTACGTGTCAGGATGGAACTATTGTATTCGACTCAAAGGCCAAGGCGGAAGTGCTAGCCAAGATCTTTGCTGCCAACTCCACCATGGACGTCCTCCACAACGCCCAAATGCCGTCAATTCAAGGGTTACCTACACTATGCAGGAGGTAACATTAAGGTAGAAGACCATAAGATGAGTACTATTGTCGCTCGACATCAACAAAGCCTCTGGTCCGGACTTGATTCCTGCCATTGTACTGAAGAGGTGTGCACCAGAACTTGCTCCAGTTCTTTCGCCTCTCTTCCAGATATCTTATGAATCCGGCACCTTCCCAGAAAACTGGAAATTTGCTCATGTCCAACCCATCCAAAAAAAAGGATCTAAGATCGACCCTTACAACTACACGCCTATAGCTCATCTTTCTGTTATAAGTAAGGTGATGGAGAGGTGCATAAATCGCGAGCTTCTGGACTACCTCGAACGTCACAGTTTGATTAGCAACAGGAAGTATGGTTTCCGGCACCAACGATCTACAGGGGACCTCCTAGCTTACGTCACTCAATTGTGGAGTAAACTCGTCCAGTCTGATGGTGAGGCTCATGTCGTTGCTCTTGACATCATGAAAGCGTTCGACTAGCTGTGGCACGCTACCCTCTTAAGCAAACTTTTACCCTATGGCCTCCCAGAAAAGCTTTGCAGATGGGTGGCTGACCTTATTTCTGGCCGCAAGATATCCGTCGTAAATGACGGGTTCTCCTGTTCACCCCACAACGTCAACGCGGGTGTTCTCCAGGGATCGGTCTTGGCTCTGACACTGTTTCTCTTACATATCAACCACCTCCTTTCCTGCACGATCAACCCAATCCACAGCTTCGCTGATGACAACACTCTACATGTAGGAATTCAGAGCGACAAGCCTATCTCTGCCGCTCAGCTGGAAAAAAGAAGACTAGCGACGACTTCCTCTCTGACAAGAGACCTGGAGGCTATCACTGCTTGGGGACACAGTACACAGTACTTTGACGAACAAAAAGCATCCTAGCGCTCATCCGGTTTCGATGGATGGCCGAGTTCTGCCAAAGAGCCATGCATTTCGGCTGGTCGGAGTCCAGATCAGCGAGGACTTGATTTGGTACGAACACGTCTCGTCAACAGCTGCAGCTGCTGTTGAAAAGCTAGGCTATTTGTTTAGGGCTAAGAAGTACTTTTCTCCAGATGACCTTCTCACTCTATACAAGGCCCAGATAAGGCCCAGCCTCGAGTATTGGTCACACGTTTGGGGTGCTGCCGCTCCGACTACATTATTTATGCTCGTTGCTGTCCAGAGGAGGGCGGTGCGACTGATCGATGACTCTTCTCTAACAGACAGTCTCGAGACTCTTTCACACCGGCGGGCCGTCGGCGACCTAGCCCTTTTCTACCGCTACACCAACGGACTTTGCTCCTCTGAGTTCTCTTCCAAGATGCCGCCGCGCGATGAGCCTGTTAGACAGACACGCCTGACTTTGACATCCATAACTGGCCGATACGACCGCTCCTTTGTCCCGAGGGTGTCGAGATTGTGCAACAATCTACAAGAGGAAGCTTTTCCCAGTTCTACTAACGTTAGGAAGTTCAAAAATTGCATGAACAAAATTTCTTTGAGATCATCATAATAGCCGCGGTGTTCCGGCATTTAGGCTTATGCCTGCGCGGCTACTTCAATATGAAAAAGCGAAAAAGGATGAATGTCACAAGAAGTAAGTTTCGAGAAAAGTGAATTTAAACGTTTGAAGACTCCTAGAATCGTTGTAGAGGGTGGGTCAAAGATGTGACGGAGTACTATAGATTAATTACTATAAGCAATTGAAAAAAAGTTAAATTAAAAAAAATATTTTTGATATACAGGCTAGTCCAAAAGTGAAAACAGACCAAACGTTTTTTAATGGAAAATCCGTTTTATTTGTGTATTTTGAGATTCTCCGTATGATTTTAAACATTTTTTATATGTTAGCATCCATGCTTGAAATTAACTTTTTTTGAGATATTGAGGTAAAAAATAAGCTTTCCGTCATACACAACACCCTGTAAAATCTAAGGATTGATTAACCAGCAAAATTCCTATCTCAGGTCTTACGATCTGTTCCAATATGAGAACTACCTTAACCCCTAACTGGTGACCATGGGTCTGACAGACCCTGCGCGAAATTCAAATTTCTCCCACTCCCGGATTTAACTAGATTTTAGCTTGTCCGCCTAGGTACCCGTCTAATAACTATTTGCAAGTAAGACAACGTTATGTGTGCATCGCGGACTTTTACGAGAGAGTTTTCGTACGTTGTCAAATATTTCGCAGGGTCTGTGAGAGCCAGCGTCACCATTTACGTGATTTTTGAATAATGGCATCTTCAAGACAAAAAATACATGCAACTGATAATGATTTCGAAACTATTGCGCAGCGATGGTACGAAGAAGAAAAAAGTGACTTAAGTGATGAGGATGATAATATACAAGATCCCGATTATTACAATGACCACGATTCAACTTCAGAAATAGAAAATAATGAAGGTAACAACGATTCTGCTTCGGGAGAGGAACTTGAACCTGAGATGGATAAAAATAAATGTTAGGGCGTGTTATGGAAAAGATGTGTGAGATGTAAAAAATCAGTTTGCTTACCATGTGTGGAAAAATATGTGTTGAATGTGCCAAGGAGTAACATTTTACTTTTTTATTTACCTCAAGTTCAGGTGCTGTAGTTTTCTAGTATATATTTTTCCAAAATGTTCATTTTTTTTATTTCATACTCTATCAATGTTATTTCATCAATTCCATATATTATAGTGTATTAAAAAAAAATTGTTTAAAAAATTTAATAAACTATGCTGTTCGACAAATATGTGGATTTTTATTTAGTTTTCCTAATTTATGTTTGATAAATACAGATAACCTTCAAAATTATTTATAAAACATTGTTATTTGCCTCAAAATATATTAGAGAATTAGACAATATATAAAATTAAACAATATCTAAAATACATACAAGAATACAAAAAAAATAATATGTGGGTCTGAGAGACCCAGCGTCACCACTAACGTTACCCGAATGGCACGTCACCAGTTAAGGGTTAACAGGACATTTATAACACAGGGCCTAGAACATGAGAAAAAGGTGATATTCAAACATCAATAGCTCAAACACAGAATTGGGACTGGAAAAAAACAATGAACCAAAAAAATCTATATTCAAAAGAATATAGAACAAACAAGACAAAATTAATGGTAACTGCTTAAAAATGATTACTTAACGTTTATTTCTTTCGTCGCAGATAGGTGTATGATAAATTATTGTAGTAGCTACTAGTTTTGGTGATGATTAGTGGACATTCATCTTTTTTCATACAACGGCTGTGGCATTCATCTTTTTTTTTCCTGCACGGCAAGTGCATATACTAAGATTTAAAAAATACGTGCTTGTGTTATGATTCACCTTGTGGAGAGCAGCAAATAAGGAGTGTGTAAATAGTTACAAGAGCTACAATTTTTATATCTAACGTTATTAGGTATTTATAAGGTCGGAACCATCTTCTGATTACATATTAAAAATTCGTCGTGTATCCTCGTTGAGAGATCGTTGTCAGAAGTCAGGTTGGATTGCGTTGGTTTTCACTTTGCTGGTCGTTTTCTCCCGTTTTTTCGGAGTTCAGGTCACCGAGGAGCTGATCTGACACATCTCGTCAATAGCGGCAGCTGCTGGAAAAGTGCTAGGTTATCTGTTCAGGGCTAAGAAGTACTTTTCTCCGGATGACATCTCACTCCATACAAGGCCTAGGTAAGACCTAGCCTCTGGTATGCATTTAATTTTTTTGAGGAAATTAACCATTTCTGTAGGAATGCCGAAAGATGCCCTCTAGCGGCCACATGTAAAACTAGCAAAACATCAAATATTATAGTATTTGTAGCCCAACAATAGCTCTTTTCAACTAGCCCAAATTTGCTAAGATCGGCTCAGTCGTTTCGAACCACTTTATTTTTAGAGATACAACAAAAATTGTCTAACAAAATAGTTCGCATTCTCATCGACTTGATAACACTGATAAACACATGATTTGTGACATGACAATTTTTGGGTGTATCTTATGTATTTTGAGACCATTAAACCAAATCTAAAAACAGAATTTTTCTATCACCCACAGATATTCGCAAACATCTACTTTTATGAATTATACAATACGTAACATCTCATATTGCTGCATTTCTCGGCGTTTGTGCGATGACGCGCATATACAGGGTGTCCGCAAAGTTGGGGTTTTCCTTTACACGACGTGTAGATCTTGAAAACATAAGCAATTTTTCTTAGTACCATATACGCCAATGTCTTAAGGGAACCGAGATAAAGGGCTCTGCAACATCAAAAATATCTGAATACCGTCCTGTAGCCGCGACCCGCCGGGATATCCCCGACTGTTACAAGGTCTCAACCCGACGACAGAACTGAGTCGGGGTCAGTGTGTCAGGTTAGTATGCAACCTTTAACCGACGGTTACGGTCACACCTGTAGAGGTAATCGCGTAGACGAGAATCACTCAACAAGCACTAGAGACGTGGCTAGAGAAGTGCAAGTATCAAAAACTAAAGTGAGGCAAACGCTGCGTGAAGAGGGGCTGTATCCGTTTCACGTCCAACGTGTACAAGCCCTTCAACCTGACGATTTTCCAGCAAGAGTGCGGTTTTGTGAGTGGTTGTTGCATCAACATGACAATAATCCGGACTTTTTGAAGTGCATATTGGTGACAGACGAATTTACGTTCACGCGTAATGGGGTGAATAACTTTCGCAACACTCATGTTTGGTCATTTTCAACAAACATTTTCGGTGAATGTTTGGGCTGGCATGGTGAACGGTATGCTCATTGGACCATTTATTCTCCCAAATCGATTGGACGGGATGCAATACCTAGACTTTTCACGCAACATTTTGCCTTCCTTGTTAGAAGATGTGCCATTAAGTGTAAGACAATCAATGTGGTTTCTGCGTCTGCTCGGTAGCGCTTCAGCTGATTTCATTTTCTGTTGGAGCGGTATGATTTCGGGCAGAGACGTACTTAGCCCTTCTCGTCAACTGGAGAGTGGGTACTTTTTCCTTTATTTTTTTACTTGGTCGCTCTCGTTTCACTACACATTACCTTTGTTATTTCAAGGGTAGTTGTTTCTGAAAAGGAAAACCCCAACTTTGCGGACACTCTGTATAATGTTAAGACATGTCTGTTCCTGTTAATTATATGCGAGCTCTATGTTTAGAGAACATATTGCGTTTATTAGTAGACTAATAGCAGCCAAGTGAGTTACGTTTTCTGTGTTGAAGAGTACCGAGGTGTTCTGAGTAATGTTAATTTTTGTTAAAACGGTGTGTTGTTTTTAGTTTATTGTGATCGAGACTAGCTTTATAGACAATGCCTAGAAATTGTGTAAATAGTCCGAACAGTTTTTGTTATATGTGCGGAGAGCTAACTCTTAAATCCCAAAAACGAACTTTTACTCCCCTTGTGTTGAAAACATACGAACTTTACTTTGGAATTAAAGTTGGCGAGCAAGATAAACTATGGGCCCCTCATATATGTTGAAACACTTGTGTAACATTGTTGACAGGTTGGTTACGAGGCGAAAATCGTAAAATGCCCTTTGCGGTACCACTGGTTTGGAGATAACCGAGAGACCATACTACTGATTGCTGTTGGACATCCTAGTAGGATCGGAAATTTTTACGCTTTCTGTAACATCACTTTCAAAATCGGTGGATTCGACTTTTTCATCCAAAGACCAAGATTCTGGTAGAACTGGGACAAAAAGTTCATCACTATGCTTAAGGCACCGCAAAGCTGATGGTAAATTAAAATAATGAACAGTATGTTTCAATTTTGGTCCAATACCTTTAATATTTGTGAGGCAAAAATAGGAATCAGTAGTATGGACTCTCGGTTCTGTACAAACCATTGGTACCGCAAAGGGCATTTTACGATTGTCGCCTCTTACCAACCAGTTAACAACATTACACAAGTGTTTCAACATATATGAGGGGCCCATAGTTTATCTTGGTCGCCAACTTTAATTCCAAAATAAAGTTCGTATGCTTTCAACACAAGAGGAGTACATGTACGGTTTTGGGATTTAAAAGTTAGCTCTCCGCACACATAACAAAAACTGTCAGCCCTATTTACACAATTTCTAGGCATTGTCCATAAAGCTAGTCTCGATCACAATACGCTAAAAACAACACACCTTTTTAGCAAAAATTAACAGTACTCAGAACATCTCAGTACTCTTCAACTCAGAAAACGTAACTGCCTCGGCTGCTATTAGTCTACTAATAAACGCAATATGCTCTCTAAACATAGAGCTCGCATATAATAAACAGGAATAGACAGGTCTTAATATTATATATGTGCGTCATCGCATAAACGCCGAGAAATGCAGCAATACGAGATGTTACGTATTGTAATTCATAAAAGTAAAAGTTACCGAATATCTCTGTGGGTGATTGAAAAATTCCGTTTTTAGATTTGATTTAATGTTCTCAAAATACATAAGATACACCCTCAAATTGTCATGTCAGAAATCCTGTGTTTATCAGTGTTATTGGTTGCTGGCTATTTTTGTCTATCCCTATTCAAGTTATATCCATCATCACCCTGTATTTTATACAGGGTGACTTTGAAGTTGAGTCATTAATTTTCAGATAATGATTGTAGACGGAAGATAAACCAAAATATGTGTGTAAAAATAAAAAAAAATAAAAAAAAAATTTTACCTTGTTTTATAAAGTATCCTCCCGACAAGTATTTCAGTGCGGACCTGTATTTGATCGTGAGGTCTTGGAGCACCGGCATGCCGTCACCTGATTTACGAGCCCGTTGCACTACATTAACAAAGGCACGAGGGGTTGGTTGCACTCGATTGGGAAACCGATCCGCATAAACATGTGCCATTTTTTATTTCGTTTGAGCCACGCAACAGACACTATTCACACGTGTTACCGACTGACGACACTGACTGTATGTATAACTGAACTGAATAAAACAATTGTAAAAACATCGTTCCAAATTCTTTCGCTTTTTTGTTTCCGATGCGATGAACCGATAAGGCGGATTATATCCATGGTTGCCAAACACAAGCACATAATATTATTATTGAGACAGTGCGGTACTCAAACTTCCGAAGGGCTATAACTTTGTTACTTTAATTTTACCAGAAAAATGGTAAAGGAAAAAACATTTCTTTTGATCAGATCTACTCACTGTTAAAATAAATGACTCAACTTCGAAGTCACCCTGTATAATATTATAATTATTACCTGGTACTTGTATTTCTTGCTAGCATTGTCGCTACGCTATGGAATCTTATCTCGCGCCTTGAAGTTCACATGTTAACATCCTCTGTATCAGCATATTATATTTCTGCTACATTGTACTAAATCCATGTGTGAGGAAATCTTGTCACTTCTTGTCTAAACGTCCTGTTTTACGCATCGTCGTGACAAGGTTTCACAAAAGTCCTTTTGTACCGTTAATCGAAATAAAGTTTTTTTTAAAAACAAGTATTTCGGTGGCAGTAATTCAACTTTCATTGCATTGTATAGTGACTGACCGACCATTCATTTGAAGCTACCAAAAAAGTAGTCGCCTTTCGAGTCGAGTATAATTACCTTCTAGTATTACGACGATCTCGAACCTCTCCTGTAACATGTCTCCGGCTGACAAATTGTAAAATGGAGAATCTTCATCAATCTGATGAACGATGGTCATAGGCCAGATGAAGAACAAATTTCCGTCGCATCCATCTGCATTCAAGGAGAGCTCAGTTTGAAAATTGTTCAAAATCTAAAAACACATATCAAAATTAAATTTATACAGGGTGTCCCAAAAGTCATGGATCAAACGAGAGAGGATGTTAGGGAAGGTCATTTCAAATCAAAAAACCATATACCATATCTTTTAAGTTTTGCATATAGAAACATAGTAGGCCGCGCGGATCGAACGTCAGTACTGAATCTTAACCTCACTCTTTAGTAAATTTAAATTCAAAGTTTCACAACAATACGTGCAGTGTTCTCACTACAGTGAATTTTTAAGTGTCACCAAGTGATTAGAAAAATGGAACTCAACCGAGAACATTTTCGCGCCATAATTTATTACAACTTTCAGAGACAATTATCGCAACAAGAATGCCTTGCTGAGTTAACTGCCTGTTTTCGGAAACGAAGCGCCACATCAGTCGACCTACCGTGTTGTTTTATTTCCATATGCAAAACTTAAAAGACATCCCTCGTAATACAACTTACCTCCCCTTCTTTCGTCTTCTTAGGCCTAATCAACTGTGCCCTGATGCTCGCCCCTATAATGTGACTCTTCCTCATATCCCCTACCCTGAACATGAGGCACAAATGTCCGTCTCTCTGACACACCACCGCGTTTCTTGAGAATTGTAATGTTTGCGTCCTCAGTTTCGGCCTGGTCATCTTGGCAAAAACGATGCCCACCATAAATGATTGGATGATCATTCCGGAGATACTTTGCATACACATGATAAAAATGGCTTCCGGGCATTCTTCGGTTGTCGTTCGAACGCCGTAACCTATTCGACAAAATACGAGTGGAGTGAATGAGCGCGTTCAGCGAACGTCAAGCGGTCCAGCAGTGCTGCGCTTTTATGCTAACTAGCTGGGGCCGTGGAACTACTAAATCTGACAGCTAAGTGAAAATTGCTGCCAAACTGAAGAAGCAATCCTATGGTATTTCACGCTATTCAGCATAGAAGCGTTGTACCGCTGGACCACTTTACGTTGACTGAACGTGCTCATTTACTCATATTTAATTTCATACAGTATTTGCAAAAAAATAGGAAAACGAAGTATAACGATTTCAATTTTTAAAACCTCAAGAGGTATATTGTATATATATGTATGTATATATATATAGGTGAAAAATTAAAGCTTCCGCTTTTTGTTGGGTACTTCGACAAAATTTGAGCAAAGAGGACTCTTTATACTTTTTTTAATTCTCTCTAGCTTTCAATGGACTTTGCCATCATCATCAGGAGCTGCAATTACAATGATAACAGTAGCAACAAAAGTGTAAAATGAATTTAAATTGAATCAACTTACAGTAGTATGTGAGGATGTTGCTAATTGTTGTTTTCGTATAGGATGAGGGAAATGTCCAGTAACATGGTGAGAGCTGGATACATGGTACAATGGTTAAAATTATATAAAATATGACAAGACAAGTTAATGACAGATTAAAAATTATTTAGAAAACATTAGAGCATTACGTCGTGAAGCCGCTTGATGATTGCACAAAATGGTGGTCAAGGAATAATGAGTGAGATGAACCTTTGACAGAAGGCCGAAGGTTGTCAATGTCTGTGTTGAAAGATGGAACGAATTGTGGGCGTGTGCCAATACGTTGCCAAATCACTTCAGATGATGTGATTTTCAGAATGTTATGTAAGAAATTGTTAAATCGACATTCTATGAATTACACAAGTATCAACGTTCTTGATAAAGAAAAACACCTTTTCAAACGTTTATTCCTGGAAATGTCCCACATTTTCATGAATAACAACTGTATCAACAAAAAGACAGATATTAAACAACTGAGTGTCATTTACTCATATTTGCTAAACTGCGAAAAATTGGAGAACTTACATATCTCCCCAAATTTCGACTTTTCACAACCATAAATATAATCTGTGTTTTGGCCGATTCCACCAACAAATTTCATTCCACTCAAAATCTAATAATTCTCTTCTCACAATTTATTAATAATTGTTAATTTAAAATTCCCATTAATTAAAATATATTTTATTCAACTGCCTCTGATCGGTTTAACAATTTCTTACATAACATTCTGAAAATCACATCATCTGAAGTGATTTGGCAACGTATTGGCACACGCCCACAATTCGTTCCATCTTTCAACACAGACATTGACAACCTTCGGCCTTCTGTCAAAGGTTCATCTCACTCATTATTCCATGACCAACCATTTTGTGCAATCATCAAGTGGCTTCACGACGTAATGCTCTAATGTTTTCTAAATAACTTTTAATCTGTCTTTAACTTGTCTTGTCATATTTTATATAATTTTAACCATTGTACCATGTATCCAGCTCTCACCATGTTACTGGACGTTTCCCTCATCCTATGCGAAAACAACAATTAGCAACATCCTCACATACTACTGTAAGTTGATTCAATTTAAATTCATTTTACACTTTTGTTGCTACTGTTATCATTGTAATTGCAGCTCCTGATGATGATGGCAAAGTCCATTGAAAGCTAGAGAGAATTAAAAAAAGTATAAAGAGTCCTCTTTGCTTAAATTTTGTCGAAGTACCCAACAAAAGGCGGAAGCTTTAATTTTTCACCTAACTGGTTTAGACGACAATGACCACGTCTCAAGTTATATATATATATATATATAATAAATAAAAAAATAATGAAAATAAATGAAAATCAGAGACTTCATTTTCTAATTCATTTGCTGTCAGTTTCTTAAAACTACTTCCTAAAATAAACAAATATATTTTGCTCACAAAAATAAAATATATTATTTGCATCAAATAACCCCTAATAATTATAAATCTGTATTACAATGTGAAAACGCTCTACGTTTTTAAACTTTAATCTATTTCTGCGTTCTGTTATGACTTGCCCCGCTTTTGAAAAAATTCGCTCACAATTCAGGTGTGATTCCCTAAAATCCCAAGAAAAATTATCCCCTGTCATATGATATCTATTGTAGGCAATTGAGCCATCTGTGAACTAAAACATGAGCCTTAGCGAGGAACGCCGCCTGGTAGGTTTCTACAAAGGAAAAATCAGAAACCACGTCGTACGTGATTTAGAATTAGAAGTTATAGTGAATGGTCTAAAATAACAAACTAACTAAACAGCAAAAAGACCGAGTATTTTTACCAAGAGTATTAGTTACTTTGAGTCCTGGCAAGTAACGCTTACTTTCTAACTGTTACTCAAATATTTTACATCACTAATGATCTCTGTGATATGATATGGATGTTTGTATGCAAATTTCGTCATATACAGCAGACGCTCGATAACGTAAACACGGGATAATGAAAACTTGCGCTAATGTAAACACAAACTTCGTTCTATAGGATCAAACGGAACGCGCGATAACGTCAACAATGTGTACGCTCGATAACGTAAACAACTCTCGGCGCAAGGAAACAGCGCGACGGTAAAATGCTGAAGCCTCGATGATTTATGTCGGGCGTCGGGGAGTCCCCGATTTATGATGTAGAGTGTAGGGGATTCACCTCTGCGATAAAATACGACAAACTCGGTCAGTCGTATGATCGTTTAGGATACGTTTATACGTACGTATGTATTTCATTTTTGAACTTAAGTGAATATATTGCACGCGTTAATATATTTTACGACTATGGCATCCACATCCTATAAAAGAAAGTGTTTAAAGTTGAGTGAGAAAGTGAAAATCATAGACGAAGTTGCACTAGGTGCGGGAGTGACACAGTTAGCAAAAAAATATGGAGTATCGAAAGCAACAATCTGCGTATGAAAACTCAAATTTTACAAAAAACGTGCAATACATTTGGAGGTTCGGGAAAAGGAAAAACTTTAAAAAATGCGACGGCACCTAAAATGGAAAATTCGCTGTATAAGTGGTTTTTAAAACAACGGGAAAATCATGTCCCAGTTAGTGGCGAAGTACTTAAACAGAGAGCGAGACTGTTAAATGAAAAGAAACTGAAAATTTGGTAGCTAGTGATGGCTGGCTACAACGATTCAAAACAAGATATGGAATTCGACTGCTGTCTATATCTGGTGAAAAATTAGCAGCACAACCACAATTAGTGCAAACATTCAAAGAAAAATTGATGAAAACAATTATCGAGCTAGATTTAAAAATGGAACAAATTTACAACGCAGATGAAAGTGGCCTGTATTGTAAAATGTTACCAGAGAAAACCTATGCTGCATCATTTGAAAAATCTGCCCCGGGAAGAAAGCCGGAGAAACAACGAATAACGTTTCTAGCCTGCATTAATGCTAATGGTTCACACAAAATAAAGCCACTGGTAATTGGGAAAGCAAAAAATTCGCGCTCATTTAAAAATGTTAATATCCCTGTTGATTATGACTGTTCAAATACCGCTTGGATGACTAGCAGTATATTCCTGAAATGGTTCCACAGGTGCTTTGTCCCTCAGGTATGACAATCAATTATCACAAATACTCTATTCATAATTTGAAGATGTGTTTTCAATTTGTAGGTAAAAGGTTTCCTAAAACAGCAGAAGCTTCCAATAAAAGCGTTGTTACTATTGGATAATGCACCAAGTCATCCTCTCGAGCAACAACTGAGGAGCAGGGATGGGTCAATTTTCGTCATGTACCCAACGAAACACCGTTAATTCAACCGATGGACCAGAATATAATAAGACTCACCAACTATACTATAGGAAGTTTCTACTTTCGTCTGTCTTATCAAAGAATCCTGAAAACTTATCTGAGGCTTTAAAAAAAGTAACATTACGAGAAGCTGTTTTAGATTTACATATGGCCTGGAATGAACTTAACCAGCAAACTATTCAAAAATGTTGGAACAATCTCTTTTGTACCAACAATGAAGATGATGAAGAAGACGATGTCCCCTTAAGCGTAATTGGAGAACGTTTGCGATTCAATAATGATAATGTTATTAGTCATTGGATGTTGTTGATTTATTGAAAACAGTGAATCCCAACATTGTTTGTACTCCTGCTGATATTAATTTATGGAACGAAGATAAGCAGACGAATGATGCTGATAAGGAGGAGGATATGGATAGTGAGGATGATGAGAACGATCCCATTGAAGTCAGAAGTGTAGTAACTGATGCGCAAGCTATACAAGTTTTTAACTAAGCTTTAGATTGGGCTGAAAGAAAAGAAATGTCATACACGGATATTTTAGTTCTTCGTAAATTACGGGCGCAGGCATTGGAAGGCAATGCTAAGCGCAAATTTACGCAAACAAAAATTGTTACTTATTTTTCCTCTAATTAAAAAAATACTTATCGCTGTTAGAATATTTGTTTATTTTGTTATAAATAGTATGTATCAAATGTTTCTTTTAATAAATCAAATATTATATAAATCACGTTCGCTAATGTAAACATTTCGATAATGTGAACCACACTTGGATTAAATTAGTTTGTAATATCGAGCGTCTGCTGTATATCTTTTATGTACCTGCTATCTCTGTGCTTTTACAAATCTGACCTGTGTAGACACCGTAGTGTATTAACACCAATAAACTATTATTATTATTATTATTAAACAATGTTACAATTTTTTTGTGCATTCTTTCTTCAATCGTAACTTGTTAACGAATATTAGTACAGCTCTGAAATTGTCAAAATTCCTTTGTAGAATTGAGCAGATGATTACTTTTATGCTTGTCACTTTTTCTGTCGCAAAATCTTTGATTCTCTTGAAACCTCATTTTGGAGCAAATTGTGTTTTCAAGAAAAGCAAAGACTTTTTGGAAAGCGGAGTATTCACATACAATTTTAGAGCTGGATAATAAGTTCAATTGAAGAGAAAGCTGATAACATTGTTTTTTATTCATCTTTATACAAAACACGAAACAATCAGACAAAAGTATTAAGCATACTCCTCCAGACGGACTGTTGAGAAAAAGGGACATGTGACATTAAGGTAGCGAGTAACTCGAAGACGCGAAGTCGTGAATTATATTCCAACATGGAAATTATTTCAAGATTGAACTATTTCTTTACTTTGGTACTGACCTATAGTATGTTGCGTTTCTATCGAGAACAGGAAACAAGATGTAAAACCGTGGATGTTTAAGACACACGGCGACCAACCGCTATCAGCTTGACTTTCTGGTAGGTGGTCTTCCTCCAAGTCTCCATGAGTATATGCTATCAGCCACCAGATCAACGCAAAAGTCAACCAGGAACCTAAAAAGATGTTATTGTTATATCATAATGTTTCTCAGTCAAGGTGAGCTTCTGTAACCACTCAGATGAGAAAGCCTAATCTTACTAATTTTTATAATCTAATCTAAAACGTTTTTAAATTGGGCAATTAAAAAATAAATGGCATTAAGTTTTTCTAAGTTAAGCCAAAATTTGTAGTCAGTAAGTAAGTAAGTTTGATTAAATTAAAAATTTAAAACACACATGACAACAGCGCGTCGGTCATTCCTTACTCTTATCGAACCGGCAATCGATCGCAAACGGTAACAATGGTTAGTTATTATTCGCGTACGTCGTCGTGTTTATTTACAATGTTCTCGAATCAAGAGTTCGCCGACATGTTGTTAGTTTACGGTGAAGCTCGTCAGAATTCAAATATTCGCATAGAATCCTACAGGAAAATTTGCTTTCAAATTCAAATTATTTTATTATCCTAAAAGACATTACAAAGTATGTTTAGGATACGTCGGAATAAAAACTAATAAAACAACACAAAATAAATATACAGGGTGTCCCAGAAGTCGACGTCAAGCCGAAACCGGGTGATAGGCAAAGTCATAACAGCTATCAGAAAAATATTTAAAAAAATTTTATGTATGTGTTTAAAAATATAGAAATTTCACACCCTACGGCAGTCTGTCAACTCCTGTTACTACAAATATTAACTTTATTTGGATTTTATTTTTACAATGTAATGATGAATAATGCATCTTCAAACTGGTGTCTCAACCTTACTGCCAACTTTTCCCGTTCAGGAAAAATTGCCACTTATTTCCCAACCAAGTATTCCAAAGTAAAACTTTGCTCAACTTTAACTGGCTGTACTGGAAAAAAATGTACTACGAGAGTTTGGCAAGTAACCTTAAAAGTTGGCGCATTTAATAACGATTCCAAAATGGTACGCAATATGCGCTCGACATCTTCTTAAAAAAGATCGGGTTATTAAACGAGCGAATCCACGGTTATTAACAAACTCAGCTGCTTCCAATAGTCTTTGCCGTAGCTCAGCTACATTTTGAATCGGCTTGAAATACACTTTTTCTTTTACAGTTCCCCAGAAAAAAATCTAACGGATTCAAATCTGGTGACCGGGCTGGCCACGGTATTGTACCAGACCGCCCTATCCATCTGCCTGGAAAGTTTTGATCGAGATACTCTCTCACTGAGAGTGCATAGTGCGCTGGGCAGCCCTCATGCTTAAACCACATGTCCCTGTAAATACTCAGTGGCACATCCTCCAATAAATTTTCTAAATGATTTTCCAAAAAACCTAAATAAACCTCAGCAGTCAAAGTCTCTGGGAACTCAAACGGACCGATTATTTTACCATTTAAAATTCCTGTCCAATGGTTTATCTTGAAGCGATATTGAGATTTATCTTCTTTCATCAAATGTGGGTTTGCTACGTGCCACTCGTGTAAGTTATGCAGGTTCATGTACCCATCTTTCTTAAATGTGGTCTGACCATAAAATTTTTTCAAAGAACCGTGGACCTTCCCCGTGTCTTTCTAACATTGTGCGACAAAAAGCAACTCGGGGCTCATAATCCCGGGGCAGAAGATCTTGAACACGCTATACGTGGTATGGATGGAGCACGTTTTTTTGCAAGATTCTATGGGCTGTACTTTTGGGCACACCTGTTTTTAGTTCTATTGCACGCACTGAAGTACTCGGGTCTTCTTCGACAGCTCCTAGCACCACGTCTTCGTAAGGAAGGAAAGATCTTCCCTCACCGTGTGATTGGTTTGGTAGTTGGCCCTCTGAGAACAGTAAGCGGTGCACATTTGTGAACACTCGATGACCTGGATGACGAGCTGCATTCGGGTTCCTCTCACAGTAAAGTCTCGCAGCAGCACTAGCGTTGCATCTGCATTCCCCACAAATGAGGTGCATGTTAGCATATTCTTGTACGGTGTACACGGACATAGCGGCACTGCACAATCACACTATCAAAGATAGTCTCTAAGGAAAGCAAATGTTGTTTTGAAGAGCAATTAAATAGTCCAAATCCAAATCACAAGCGATCAACAGTCCAGTTCACGAATCCAAAATTAGTAACAGTACGAAATCAACAAGCACGAACATGTAAAGATGCGCAGTAAACGAAGGAGTACTGATCGGTATCAAAGTGTGCAATAGCAAGTAATTGATGTGCTTCATCCATACCACGTACAGCGTGTTCAACCTCTCCTACCCCGGGATTATGAGCCCCGAGTTGCTTTTTGTCGCACAATGTTAGAAAGACATAGGAAAGATCCACAGTTCTTTGAAAAAATTTTATGGTCGGATGAGACCACATTTAAGAAAGATGGGTACATGAACCTGCATAACTTACACGAGTGGCACGTAGCAAACCCACATTTGATGAGAGAAGATAAATCTCAATATCGCTTCAAGATAAACCATTGGACAGGAATTTTAAATGGTAAAATAATCGGTCCGTTTGAGTTCCCAGAGACTTTGACTGCTGAAGTTTATTTGGATTTTTTGAAAAATTTATTGGTGGACGTGCCACTGAGTATTTACAGGGACATGTGGTTTCAGCATGATGGCTGCCCAGCGCACTATGCACTCTCAGTGAGAGAGTATCTCGATCAAAACTTTCCAGGCAGATGGATAAGGCGGTCTGGTACAATACCGTGGCCAGCCCGATCACCTGATTTGAATCCTTTAGATTTTTTACTGGGGAACTGTAAAAGAAAAAGTGTATTTCAAGCCGATTCAAAATGTAGCTGAGCTACGGCAAAGACTATTGGAAGCAGCTGAGTTTGTTAATAACCGTGGATTCGCTCGTTTAATAACCCGATCTTTTTTAAGAAGATGTCGAGCGTGTATTGCGGCTGAAGGAAAACAGTTTGAGCATTTGCTGTAAAGGTAGATCATCATCAGCAGCATTTTGACGCCCACTGTTGTGCAAACAGTTATCCTTAAGGGTCCTTGTGCGTTTTCATAATTGCTGTTTAATTAGGAAATTTTGAAAAATTTTCATCAGTTTTTTTTCAAATAAAAATTGTGCATAAGTTAACGAGTAATCTTCTAAGTGTTATACCATTTTGGAATCGTTATTAAATGCGCCAACTTTTAAGGTTACTTGCCAAACTCTCGTACTGCATTTTTTCCAGTACAGCCAGTTAAAGTTGAGCAAAGTTTTACTTTGAATACTTGGTTGGGAAATAAGTGGCAATTTTTCCTGAATGAGAAAAGTTGGCAGTAAGGTTGAGACACCAGTTTGAAGATGCATTATTCATCATTACATTGTAAAAATAAAATCCAAAAAAAGTTAATATTTGTAGTAACAGGAGTTGACAGACTGCCGTAGGGTGTGAAATTTCTATATCTTTTTCAAAGACCTATAATTTTCAAAACACATACATATAATTTTTTTAGATATTTTTCTGATAGCTGTTATGACTTTGCCTATCAACCGGTTTCGGCTTGACGTCGACTTCTGGGACACCCTGTATGTATAAAACAAATACACACATAAATCATAACATAACAAACTCAGAGACGGCATAATAACATTTACACAGAAAAAAATCTGTTTAGCCTTAAAATTATGTATATCTCCACACTCTTTAATATTGTTTGGTAGCCTATTGAAAATTCGTGGACCCAGTATTTCCGGAGATCTGACGCCGATCTTATACTTGGAAAAATCCACATTTAAGTCTCCCGCTTGTTTGGTCGAGTACGAGTTAAAACTGTTTAAAAACCTAGTTCTGTTAATAAAAATATATACAGCCATTTCATATAAAAATAAAGATGGTAAAGTTAAAATCTTAAGGCGCTTAAAAATATCCTTACAAGAATGCCTACTGCTGACTCCCATCATGCATCTAACCACTCTTTTTTGGGCCAAAAATACTTGTTGGGCATTTGTAGACAAACCCCAGAAGCATAGTGCATACCTCAGTCGTGTCTCAACTTGAGCATAGTAGTTAAACAGAAACTATATGTGCTTCGGTAAGGACAGTTCGAGATATGATTGGGAGTTTATCTTTGAAGCAATGTATACACGGTGGTCTTTAAAATTCAAACCTGTATCTAGATACAAGCCCAAGAATTTAACTTGCGTGTTAAGGGACATTTTTGAGCCATTTAAAGTGATATTCAATGTCCTAGGCTTCTTCTGGATGTTGTGAAATTCGACAACTGATGTTTTTTCCGAATTCAAATAGAGCTGATTGCTGCTAAACCACTTGCAATAAAACTCCACAATATCTCTCTAATGTAGCCTCACACTTATTCGATATCACCACTGAAGTATCATCTGCATATAAAATGAATCTACCTTCAGAGGAACAGAACTCAAGGTCATTTACATATAGACTGAATAGAGCCTTGAGGGACGCCTATGGAGATGTCAGCTATGTCGGACTTAATAGGCGCATTCAGACCACTATCGACGATACTCACAAATTGGGACCTATTCTCTAAAAAAGAGGTTATCCAGTGATATGGTGGACCTTTATCCCTATCATGTACAATGAGTACAGGCCTTGTTACCAGAAGACTATCCTCGCAGACTAACATTGAAAATCCGGATTTTTTTAAAAACATTCTAGCGACGGACGAATGTACTTTTACGCGAGACCGGATATCAAATTTCCATAATACTCACACGTGGGCCGAAAAAAATCCTCATACCATTCGTAAATGTCATTTCCAAAAACCTTTTAAAATAAATTTTTGGGCGGGTATTCTTGAGGATCAGGTAATTGGCCCTTTCGAGTTACCCCCAAAGTTGTCAGGATACCTTAGCTTTCTAGCCAATAACCTACCAGAACTTTTGGAACAGACCTTAGACAACATGCCATTACAACGGAGACAGAATTTTTAGAGGCATCATTCAGTATTTGAATGAACATTATCCAAATCGCTGGATCGGTCGAATTGCTCCTGATCCTCGAAAATGGCCAGCAAGGTCTCCTGACCTCAATCCGATGGATTTATGGTATTGGGGAGAACTTAAAGGGCTG